TATAATATTTTTGAAGCTACACAAATGTTATTTTTTTGTTATTTGGGCTCTCTATAAAACACAACAGTTTGATAGGGAGTTTATATCATTCACGGCTTTTACAACTAGTAGTCTCTGTACTTTTATTTTTTACCAATACCACTATTTAATTTAACTAGTGTCCCTGTTGCTCGAATTCGAGCAATGGCTAAGTATTACAGGCGTTATTTTAAAACTAATAACATCCATAATTTCTTATGACTTTTGTAGATTCGACTCAAAGATTATGGAAATACTCAAGATGTACATAACAGATCAATATAATCAACATTTCTTGTAAAAATCTTATCATTTTTCAAAAGCTGATCTTGTTTTTTTAGTGTTTTCTACAAATAGCCTTACCCACAGCCGCATTAGATTGTCCATAATAACGATTATAAATAAAAATAAAAAACATTATTTATAGTTCTTCTCCTTGGTGGTTTTCTATGACTTTCCTATGTTTCCATAGTTTGCAAATCGGCTTTTTCAATGATTACCAAGAAATGCAGCACAGTGTTAATTCAGTTTTCGTTTTAGTATATCAATTTATCCGGGCTCTCTCGCTTTTTTCCATTGTAATATTCACGCAAACCCAAATTCAAATAGTATATTTCATTTCAATCAAGTCAGTAAATGTTTGTAGCTAACTGTTAAATTAGCAAACTTATTGACTGTTTACAATCATCATGTTCTTCTTCTAACTTTTAATTTCTGACAACAGCTGGAGTTTCATAACAATTTTTGTTTCCCATGTTAACCTTATGGATAAATACGAAACTTTAAAGGGCCCCAGGGCCTCACTCTCTAATTATTTACCTAAAAAGAAAGTTTCCTGCACAACTTCACGTTACGCTCTTTCCAATGACACCAAAAACATGTCAATCGGTTCAGTAGTTTCGGAGGAGTAATTGTCACAAAAAACCTGCTTGCGTATTAAATAAGTAATAGATTTATCTAGCTGTGGGTCCTACGCATGGAAGTCAAGTACATAGTCAGTTAAAAATGTACATAATTTAGAACAGCTGGTTTGCATATGCATAAAGAGCCTTGTAAACAAGTGTGGCCACCTATTTTTTCGTCCGAATATAGGCATATGGTTAAGCACTTTAAATCCAATAATTTTACAAGAAAACTAGCTGACCCGGCGAACTTCGTATCGCCTAAGTTATAGGTTTCCCCGACATACCGATGGAAAGAAAGTACCGTTACGTTTAATTTTCAAGATGATCTCGTTCGCATCGCTCAATCACGTCCTGGTTGAAGTTCGTTCGCTACGCTCACTCACCTTTGGGTTGGAGCTCGTTCGCTACGCTCACTCACCTTTAGGTTGGAGCTCGTTCGCTGCGCTCACTTGCCTTCAGGTTTGCTCGTTCGCTACGCTAACTCGCCTCCAGGTTCAAGTTCGTTCGCTACGCTCACTCCTTTTGGTTGCAAATTAGCTGTTGTCATAAATGTAAAAGAAATAATAGTGCTGCACCCTGTTGGTAATCCTTGTAACTTTAATGCTATTGAACATCATAGAACAGAACTAACTTGTTTAATTGAAACAGCTGTTAAGATTCATTAATTCCATTTCTCATAAGGTTAACATGGGAAACTCCAGAGCCACTGGGGCGGAGCCCTTTTAAGAATTTCGAAACGGGAAATAGTTTACGTCCGATTCGCATACCTACAGAATTTACACACCAAATTTCATAACGATCGGTGAAGTCGTTCCGGAGGAGTTTGCAGACAAACACTGTGACACGAGAATTTTATATATTAGAAGATAACAACTTTGTCGATGTGAAAAGCCTTGATGTGACATCGGCAGCCGATGTCAACCAAAGTAAATAGCGGTCATTTGATAGTGTTTGGTACCGTATTGTTAGTTGTGTCATACATGTTAAATTATATATGTAAATATTGATAGTAAAAATTATTAGTTTTATTTTGGAAGAACAAATATATTAATTATATCCACCCCTTGTTGTTTTAATGTGCCTTACATATTTTTTAATAAATGGTTATATCATCTAGAAAATCCAACTTTGATTAACCCTTTGTTTCCCAAGAATAATCATTCATTAAAACCTGTTTTGAAATCATTCAGATTTTTATAGTCATCATCTAAAGGAAAATTAGTCAAAATAGGTGTTAAACCACTGAATAATCAATGGATTTTATTGAGTTTTTAACCATATTCGGATACTTCAAATATACACTTAAATTTGTAACACACCTACTGCAATCAATTACGAGTAGTATTGTTACCAATAGCCGTATATTATAAATGAATATTAAAAAAAATTAGCTTTATAAAACAAACCATCTGCATTTCCTGAATAATAAAATTTACTGCTATATTCAGAGATATATACTGTTTGTTATACAACCCCCCCCCCAAAAAAAAAAAAAAACAGTTTAATGTTTAAGTCATGTTCATACAATAGAATAATAGATAACATAGGCAAGAAGAGTCTCAAGGGGATTAAAGAAATAGTCTTGTTATCGGGTGCTCTTCTTAAATCATATCCTATACTCTAATACGAGCTATGTGTGTTTGTATGTCTGTAATATATATATCTCAAAATCCAGAGGAAGGATTTTGACTAAATTTTGGAATCAGGGGCTTTTAGTTCTTAAAACGTGATTGGTGACAGCCACTACCTCAAGAAAATTTGTATTTATCTACACAACTCATTTAAATTTAACATTGGCCCTATGGGTTGCCAAGTAACAACATTGGCCCTATGGGTTGCCAAGTAACAACATTGGCCCTATGGGTTGCCAAGTAACAACATTGGCCCTATGGGTTGCCAAGTAACAACATTGGTTGAACAAAATAACAAGGATAAAGTAAACAAAAGAATTGTCACATGTGTAACAAACCGTCTACAGTACACTAGCAAATTACAAAATACAGTACAAAGGAAAAAACATCACTTGTTTTACAGAGGTTTAACATTATATGTTATGGGGTTCTCAAGGGGATTTGAAAAGTGCTCTTGTAATTGAGGCTGTCTGCTATTGAGAATGTGTAAATGAGGTTCTACTTCTTCTTCTTCGTGATGTTCCAATCCAGAGAGCTGAAACCCTCTGTAGATCTAACTGATCTAACTATCTCTAAAGATTTATTTAAGGGTACGATAAAACCATTTACCAAAAGAGGGTAATGTATTGAAACCATTTTACTTTTTGACTTAATGAAAAATATTATAAGAAATCTGAGAGAACTATTTTGTAATCAATAATCAGAATGACTGTTTAGAATGTGGTCAGCCATTTCCTGCCCACTATATATTCTAAAACTCTCAAAAAATTTTGGTTGGTATATTTTTAAATAATTGTAACTTGACTTGTTTTGTATATTTTCCATTGATAATTCTAGTAAATGAGCGTTTATTGGACTTTGTCAGAGGAACGCCAATGCCAATGAAAATAAACTGTATCAGCAATCAGAAAAAGTAAATCGGTCCCGGTCCTATGTCTTACCGTGCCACCTACGGTAATAGCTACTTCCCTATAGAGAAATTCGCTAAAAACAAATAATGTGTGTATATAGAAACCATTGTTGTAAAATAAAAGATTAAGTTAGGGAGAAAACTAAAAGAACTGTTATTTTAAATTTTCGTCTTATTCTTACGAGGGAAAAGTAAAACATATGATTAGAATTTCTTTCATTTGTTTTGATTTTCCGTTTATATTTCACCATCATGGCAACCCTTAAGATCCATTCAATAAAAAAAATTATTATTTTTTGTGCATATTTTTGAGCCTATTGTAATTTTTAAAGGAATACTGCACATCTACAGGAAAATAGCTTTCTAACAGTATGCGTAGATTTACCCTGCGCTGCACACAAGCTGAGAAAAAAGGTTTTCAAGAATCATGCTTGCCTAATATTTTTATAGATTTTTAAACATTGTAGTTCCAAAAGTATGACATTGGACCCCATAAAACCCTCCGGGGTGGAACCCTTTTGACGGATCTGCACCAAACTTCACACAAACCATCCTTGAATAATGCCTGACTGAAAGTCTTATTACAATCTGTCGAGTGATTTTGGAGTCAATAGGGTACATACGGTACACATTTTTCATTTTTTATAGATAGTAAAATCAAAACACATGTCGATTCATTATAACCTAAACTTTACCTTCCTAGTCCAACCTAACTTCAAAACACTTAATACAGCCCTGAATTCGCGTAAAGCACGACTCACCACCCTGACATGCCTAAATAAGAACCAAGTTTAAGTTACATGCAATTAGTATCAGTTCATTCCTCTTGTAAATGTCATCCTTGCTACCTTGTTTATTTAAAAGTTGTGTATTTAAACAGGAATATTTTCAGTAATATTAATTTGCTGTGAGAAATAACGGTATATTTGGATTCAGGAGGTAAAAAACTATAAGTAAGATACAGTATCAAAGTTAAAAAATTGTTTGGATGCACCTATAGTAAATAATTACCCAACTAATTGTATTATAATGTTATATTCACATATTATCATATGTTGAATGTATCATATGTTAGTTGGAGGTAAACAATATCAGTGATGTTTATGTTTCAGTCTTGAGTTGAATTGTAAATAAACTTCTGAACTTAAAATGTTAAAGCTTCTAATTTTATTTATATTTTCTAACTAAAACATGGTGTCAGGTGTATTTTGAAACCTAGAAGAAATAATGGAAGTATCTGGATTGTTTAGGTTGCCTGAACCTATGAGTTTTGAAGGAAATGTGAGTGAAAATTGGAAAAGATTTCGTCAGAAGTTTGAACTGTACTTAATAGCTACTAGTCATGGTAAGAAACTTAAGGATGAAATTAAGATTGCGCAGCTGCTTAATCTGTTAGGCGATGATGGCCTAGATGTATATAATACTTTTAAATTTGAAGATAATGACAAAGATAGTTTTGACTGCGTACTTGCTAAGTTTGAATCTTACTGTTGTCCTCTGAAAAATGTCATATTTGAGCGGTTTAAATTCTATAGAATGAAGCAGGAAGAAGGTCAAGACTTCAGTAAGTTTGTTATGCAGTTAAAAATAGCAGCTAAATCATGCGAGTTTCTTGAACCTGACAATATGATTAGAGATAGAATTGTCTTAGGTATAAGAGATAAAAGTACTCAAGAGCGTCTATTAAGAGATACAAAACTTGACTTGAAAAAAGCTATTGATTTCTGTATGATTGTAGAGAGTAGCAAGGATCAATGTAGGACTATTGTAGAGCACAATGAAACCAAGCTTTCGGGGACTAAGTCGCATCCATACAGTGTATGTGATGTTAATAATGTACAAAATCAAGAACTTTCGCGGAGTATTGCAAAAGAAAAACAGAATGATCTATGTAGCTTTTGCGGCTACAAACATGTTCGTGGTAAATGTCCTGCATATGGCAAAACATGCTCGAAATGTGATGGTAAAAATCATTTTGCAAAGGTTTGTAGGAGTAAAACTATAAAATCTCATGCTGTTACAAACAAGGAACAACACGATGAAGACTCTTGTGTGAGCGATGTTAGTTTAGGCTCGGTAAGCCTAAACATTAGTGGAGTGAAAGGTCAAAGTGAAAAATCGTGGACGGAAAACTTGACTGTTGGTGGTACTCAAGTTAAATTTAAACTAGATACAGGTGCAGAGATCAGTATTTTACCTGCTAGTTGTGTACGGAAAATGAACATTACACACGTAAAACGTAGTTCTTATGTACTCTCAGCCTGGGGAGATGAAAAATTCAAAATCAAACCACTAGGTCTTGTGATGTTACAATGTAAAACAATTACAGGTGTAACTGCAGATGTGAATTTTGCTGTAGTGAATGTCGAACATGAACTGCCAATTTTAGGACTGAACGATTGTGTCAATTTAGGACTCATTAAGAGAGTGTCATCGATATGTTTGTATTTTAAGGATAAGGACGATGTTTTAACCGGCTACAAGACAGCTTTTGAAGGATTGGGACAGTTTCCAAGCACTCATCATATTCAGCTTAAGGAGGGTGCTATCCCACAAATTCGACAATCACGGAGAGTACCTTACAGTTTACAGGAAAAACTAAAGGAAAAGTTGGACCAACTTGAGGAAACTGGGGTGATTCGAAAAGTTGACAAACCTACAGCATGGGTCAATCCTCTGGTGATCGTGGAAAAACCCGATAAGTCTTTGAGAATCTGCATAGATCCGATGCCATTGAACAAGGTGGTAATGAGAGAGCACTTTCTAATGCCACACCCTGATGATATTCTGGTAACATTGAGTGGTTACAAATATTTTACTGTTTTGGATCTTAAGGATGGGTTTTTTCAAATAGTTTTAGATGAGGAGAGTCGTGAACTGTGCACAGTCAGTACCCCATTTGGGAGATACCAGTTTTGTAGATTTCCTTTTTGAATCTGTTCGGGTCCAGAATTGTGCCAGAAAAATAACTACAAATGCTTTGGAAACCTGAAGGGAGTTAACATAGTACATGATGATATTATTGTAGGAGGAACGACATCGGAAGAGCATGACGAAAATTTAAAGAGAGTTTTGGACACAGCCCTTAAACTTGGAATCAAGTTTAATCCAAACAAGATGCAATTTAAGAAGAGCGAAGTTAAGTATCTGGGAAACATAGTATCGGCTGCAGGAATCCAACCCGACCCAGATTATGTAAAGGCCATAGTTGAAATGGACCCACCCACGGACAAGAAAGGGGTAATGCGGTTATTGGGCATGCTAAAGTATTTATCGAGGTTCATACCAAATTTAGCAAAAATCACTGCACCCCTCAGACATTTGACAAGAAAGGATGTGGACTTCTTATGGACCGTAGAGCATGAAGATGCTCTGAAGATTATCAAGACATTAATTTCCAGTGAACCAGTTTTGGTATACTTTGACTCTCGAAGACCTCTTGAAATACAAACAGACGCTTCTCAAGATGGCCTAGGATGTTGTTTGTTGCAGAGTGGGCAGCCAGTGGCTTTCATGTCCCGTTCATTGACTGATACAGAGAAGAGATATTCGCAAATCGAAAAGGAAACTCTAGCTATAGTTTTTGCTGTTGAGAAGTTTCACAGGTTTATTTATGGCTATAAAGTAACAATTCAGACTGACCACAAGCCGCTTGTAAATATTTTTCAACAAGATTTGCATGTGGTACCAGGTCGGCTACAGAAAATGAGACTAAGGTGTTTGAATTATGATCTGGAAGTAAAGTACTTACCTGGTAGTAGCCAACTTATTGCTGATACGTTGTCAAGAGCAGCATTAAAATGCACAGAAATGACAGTGTCTTCAGAATTTCAAGTACACAGTTTAACAAGTTCATTGCCTATGACTGAAGAGAAGAAGAAATTATTCCAGCGTTACACTGATGAGGACCAAGAAACTGCTATTGTGAAGAGATACTGCAAAGAAGTTTGGCCAGAAAGGAAGCAAGACACCCCAGAGATAGTACGCCACTATTGGAACCAAAGACATATGGTATCTGAAGAAGATGGTTTATTGTTTTTAAATCACAAACTGATTGTGCCACGACAGCTACGACAGGACATGCTTCAGCGAATCCATATCGCGCATGGAGGAATCGAAAAGTGCAAAGCTAGGGCTCGACAGATACTTTATTGGCCACGAATGGCTACAGACATTGAAAGTTTTGTGGCTCGTTGCAGGATATGTGAAAGGTTTTCCAGGAGTAATGCAAAGGAAACCCTTATGCCGTATCCTATACCTACTAGACCATGGGAGCGTATCGGATGTGACATATTTTCATATGGAGGAAATGTGTACTTAGTCATGATGGATGCTTACTCAAACTGGTTGGAGCTGGTTAAAATGCCATGTAAATCAGCAACGTCTGTAATATCAGCATGCAAAGACATCTTCAGTAGATTTGGCCCTCCTGATATAATGGTGGCGGATAATGTCCCTTACAACAGTGCCCAAATGAGGGAATTTGCCCGTGAATGGAATTTTGAAATTGTGACACGCAGTCCAGGCTATGCACAATCCAATGGGCTTGCTGAAAGGGCAGTTGGAATGGCCAAAGAGTTGATAAGGAAAGTACAGTATGACAATAAGGATTTGAAAATGGCTTTATTGGAGTTTAGGAACATGCCCGTTAAGCATCTGGGATATTCTCCAGCTCAGCTGATGTTTCAACGCAGGTGTAAGACAACGATCCCTGTTACCGAGGAACTGCTGAAACCAACGCTGAATGATGGAGTACAAGACAGGTTAAATACAAGACAACAGCTGCAGAAAAAATATTATGATCGGTCAGCCAAAGACTTAAGGGTTGTAAGAAATAACGAAAGAGTTGTCTTCAGAAATGAAGGAAGGTGGGAGCAGGGAAAGATTGTTAATCAAGGACCAACTCCAAGAAGTTACTGGGTAGAAGGTGATAACGGGGCTACATTAAGAAGAAATCGCCGCCATCTGAAACCATCACTCACTCAACAAAACAATTCCCAGTCAGTTCCAAGGCAAGACGAGCCAGTACAACTAAGACCTCGTAGAGAAATCAAGCTACCATCAAGATTTCAGAATACAATATAATGGTCTCAAAAGAAGGGAGAAGTTTGGTTGGTTATTGTTTTTAGTTAATTCTTTCAAATTTGTTTGCTGTTTTTTAAAGGGGAAAGATGTATTATAATGTTATATTCACATATTATCATATGTTAAATGTATCATATGTTAGTTGGAGGTAAACAATATCAGTGATGTTTATGTTTCAGTCTTGAGTTGAATTGTAAATAAACTTCTGAACTTAAAATGTTAAAGCTTCTAATTTTATTTATATTTTCTAACTAAAACACTAATTGTTATACCTACCACATTAAACCTTAAAATCATGGAGTATGCTACTACTTTTGACTAAACGTTAGTATGTACTGTACTTCATACTTCTTCCCTTCATCTTTGACCAGTGATACTGGATAGATGGCGTCAGTAATACTTTTAAAAATAATATTTAGGACTATACAACAAAATATAAATTATTTAAAAACTGTACACTATTTACATATTTTGGGTTGTGTGTATGGCGGCAGGTCTTTACCGAGCTAGGCTTTATATATTTTGGGTATCTGCTTTATAATATTCCTCAATGGAGTAGAAAGGATTTTTCCTCAACCATCGCTCTACCCGAGTCTTGAACTTCCCGACCTCCAGATTTCTCACACTAGTTGGGAGCGTGTTGAAAAGTTGTATTGCCAGGACTGGGAAGCATTCCTTCTTTCTACTCAGCCTACAATAAGGGATATCAATCTTTTCCCTCCCTCGGGTGTTATACGGATGCAGGTCCCCTCTCATAGTAAGTAAAGATAGGTTTTCCCTGACATAAAACAGGCTAAGTAGAATGTATTGGCTAAACACGGTGCAGACTTCGAGTTTTGCAAATATAGGTTTGCAGTGGCCGAGAAAACCAGCCGGAGTCTATGATTCCCAAGGCTTTTTTCTGCTCGAGTAGGATATTATTGCATCCCGATGCGTGTCCCCACAGCTGAAGCCCATACGGTACATAACATGACTGTGAAACAGTGCATAATATATCATTAATAGGTGCTCCTTAGATATAGGCGAAGAGGCTTTAGGCACCTGAGGAGACGTGTTACTTTTGCTAGTTTTAGGCAGATGTTAGCCTTGTGACTGTTCCAGCTTAATTTAGCATCCAGGGTAAAACCCAGTAACTTAACTTCCGGAGAAGTTGATGATTGGCTTAAACTGAGGCTACATACAATTTCTTGTGTCTTATCTTTGTTTAAGCTCAGCTTATTGTCGAGGAACCACTGTTTGGCCAAAACAAATTTCCCTGTTACCGATTCCTGGGCCAAGTCAGGTGTTTTGCCGGGAATGCGGAATACTATCCCCCGGAAAACTACCCCCCCAGGTGAAACGTGACGTCACAAAATCTGCTAACTAACCAATATGGAAGCCGTGTCCGCGACTGGAATACTACCCCCCCTAGACAAATCATGCTATGTAATTTTAATTTTAATTCGAGTAATTCCGTTGGATAATAGAAAAGGCATGTGGTGAATATAAAACAGATTTTCGAAATGTTACAGCAAGTTTGGTTGGTTAGGTTAGGTTAGATTAGAACTGTTTGACAACTAAAATTTGAGTGTCCGTGACTGGAAAACTGCCCCCCCCCCGATCTCTGACGTCAATATGACGTAGGAACCTGCTTGGGGGGGGTAGTTTTCCGGGGGGCAGTCATCCGGCGACCCGTTTTGCCTCTTGCAAAAAAGGTGGTATCGTCTGCGAATAGAAGTATGTCGCCCTGCACACCTAGGTCGTTAATCAAGACCAAGAAGAGAACCGGTCCAATGACCGAACGGGTTGGGGGAAGAGTTGACTCCATTCAGGGTGAGGATTTGTTTCCTACCTGCCAGGTAGGATGCGAAGGTGGAAAGCACCTCACCACAGACTCCGTAAGTTCTTATTAAAAGTTCAACTTACCTGAACTTATTTCTATGAATAAGTAAACTACTCTGGCCTAGGTCTTGCCCACCTATGGCAATAACTATTTCCCTATGGGTTTAAAGATTCACTAAACAACCTTATTCGGTATCCAATAAATCGTACTCAAATTTTATCAGAGTTTTAACCCTTTGAGTCCAACGTCTGAGTAATCACACGCGAAGAGCAACGACTTTCGACCTTATTGAAATGATATACTGTACCTAAATCTCTCTACCAAATTCTTGTATGTTTTTGAGATTTTCTTTGTGAGCATTTTGTTGCTAGTGTCATTTTGTGTTGGTTACCCAACTTGCGTGACAAACATTTTTATTTTCAGGGACGTATCGATCATCATTTCGACAGCCAGACGCCAGTTGTCAATCCAGTGGAAAACCTAATCATCTATGATTGAGTGGTGGATTTTGAGCGAAAAGAAAGTGGAGAATTCCGAACGACCGCAGTTGCACCAAGGCAACTCTTTCAATATTCAATTTATTTTATTTCTTTGGAATTTTTAACTTCTAAAATCAAATTTTTCGGAGTGAAGGATTAGCATTTTGTACCAGCCTGTTGTTATTGAGTGACACAATGGATCTTTTGCGCTCGGTGTACTTCATATATCGAAAGATTGTCACCTTTTTCTGTCCAGATATGAAATGGTACATGTTGGAAGTTTCGCGTTTCGACTTTTATAAACATTTGTATTCAAAAGCAAAAGCTAAAAATGAGGGAGGACAAAGCCCATATAGTTATAGGTCAAAGTGGTGGAAATTCACTACCGTTGTGGTGGATGATAAGGATATAATTGATGTTGGCAATCGTGCAATCATGCGGCCATACACCAGCTATAGTCCGGAGGACCCTATAACACATACTGTGTTTAACACAAATAATTCTGACAAGTGGTCCCAACTGAGAAAGCCATTGAGTCGGATTTTTGGTAAATTCGACAACTTGGAAGCGGTGCATGCATGCGGCCTCCAAGTTTGGACCTCCATAGAAATGGGAAATCCGGTGGACGTCGTGCAGATTTCTAGACAGTATGTTAACAAAGTTTTGTACCAGACGGTATTTGGGTGTACTGATCCTGCTGGGGAAGAGGAATTTGCAAAAATGTCTCGAGATCTGAGAAATAGCGACAGTGGGAAATTTCATGTTCCCGACTGGCTAAAGCGACTTATTGCCACCAAAAGTGAATACAAACATGCTGCAGATTATTTCAGAAATTTGGTCAGACAAAACAAGAACAATCAAGTTGATTCATTCTTGAAGCTGCTCGTAGCAAGCTGTCCAGATTGGGATGAGTCGATGATCGTAGCTCATTGTACGGTGTTTCTGACTGGGGGATTCACGTCAACGGTGACAACAATTGTTTTTGCTCTTTACGAGTTGGCGAAAAACCCAGCGATCCAAAGGCAGTTAAGAGAGGAAATTAACGATTGCCCGACGATGAAAGATCGTTTGGACAATTCCTATCTGGATTGTGTGGTGAATGAAGTACTCCGAAAATATTCACCCTTTCCAGCGGTTCTTCGGCAGTATGAAGGCGGAACAATTTCAGCGATTCCCGTGAGCGGGATCCACCACGATCCATCTACCTATGCCGACCCAGATAAATTCATACCTGAGAGATTTTTCACAAAACCTTCAAACAGATCCAAGTTTCTTCCTTTTGGAATTGGAAAACGGAAATGCTTGGGAGAACATTTCGCTATCCTTATCATAAAGACTTTTGTTGTATCAGTTCTGACGAAATCTACTCTTGAGCTTGGTGTTCATGAGCCACTTGTAATATCACCAGGCAAATTCACGACAACGGTGTCAAAGATGGAGCTTATTGTACGTGAACAGCAGTGAAATTGTACATCGTTAGATATGTCTTCAGCATTACCTTAGAACAATATCTTTATCTAAAGCGCCACTGTTCTGCTGTTGATCACTACCCGGGAGCTTGACTACTTCACTACTCAAGATGGCCAAGAGTTACTTGAGGACTAGTAGGGTTACTCCCACTAGGATATTGTAGAAATCTTGTAGGGTTATAGTGGAGGTTGGGTTGTTGTGGGTCCACTTAGGTGAAGTTCTTGTGTCCAATGTCGATCCATTGGAAACATAATATGTTGATGACTCCAAGTGAAGTTCACTGATAGGGGAAGACTGTTGTGTATGATGGGCATCAATAATTTCTTGTAGACGTTTAAGAAAGTAGATATAGGGTACACCATTGTATAAAATCCTACTTGAGTTCTGATAATGGCAGATAATATTTACAACTGCTCAAAACGCGATATTTTTTTTCTTTCTTTTATAACTTATGCAATATTTAAATATTTTTATGTTCAGGTATCATTATACATTTAATGGGCAATTGTCAGGACTTGTTTTTATAGGTAGAATTTGTTTCTCTATACCTATTTCATGTAAGTTCTCTTAATTTAGCTAATTATGTGGGTTTCCTTTTTTGTCAGGATTTTTCTCTAAAGATAATATTATTGAAAATTTGTCCTTTGGTTTAAATGTCATTGCAATGATTTTGTTTGATTTAAACTTAGGTCTCACGGCATTTTACAGATTTCGTTTATTTTATTACATAATTAATTATTATTAAATTTAATTATCGAAGTTTTAGAATTATTAGAGATAATATTTATACTGTATGATAAAATATAGTGTCATGGTCTTCTGATTTTTAAAATTATATTTAGTTGTTTAAATATATGAATTCTTAATTTGGATTTAACGTTTTTGTTTTTACCAGTTAATTTAAAATTTGTTATCTTTAGTTATAGTGTTATTGAGATTTTTTGGATATGAAATTTCTTTCATCAAAGTTTTATATAACTTACTCGTATTATATTTTATAATTAATGGTTCTATATGATTTATATATAGGCCTAGTTATTTTCAGATAATTTATATGTCTTATTATTCTTTCAGAAGGGGTATAGTATTAAATTTTAATCGAAGTGAATTTTTTGGGACATGGGCCTATTTATATTTTATGTTAAGTCCTCTAATTATATTCAATTGTACCATATTTTGTATCATTTGTAGCTTTTAAGATTTTGGCTTCACTTTGGCTTCAATTAAAACGCGAGGGGTTGGTTACCATTTAATTTAGGCCAAAACTGTACATTTTACTTCTATGTTATTTTTGTAATAAGATTAATTCTTATCAATACCTTTTGATTGCAAATCAAAGTATCAGGTTGTTTAACCTGTTGCCTGAACCCCGACAAATGCGGGAGGGCAGTGAAACACCTACTAGCAAGACTACAAACATAGATTTTGTAGTCCTGTACAAGTAGAACGAACTCCCTATTCGAACAAGTTTTTCTAAGTTGGCGAACTAATTAAGACATACTGTTCTGTTAGTTTTAGTATTTTTAGAGTTAAGTTTTATTTGTATCTCCTATTGTATAAACCTTGTGACGCTAAACAGATTTTCTGTGCAAAATAAAGATATTTTGATTTGAAATCAAATATTACTATCTGTAACCCCCCTTTTTACTCAGTTCATTTAATTATACAGTTTTTTCATTCATGTTTTAAACCTAAGATTAAAACTAAAATAATAATAAAATGTGTTGGAGTTGTAATTAAGTATTTTAGTAAAACCACAGAGAAGTAATATTCTCTGTGGTAAAACTATCTTTATAGTGAGAACTATTAATTAAAATAATTTCAATATCAAAAATTAAGAAAATTACAGCCATTATTGAGCGGAGCGAGCGAAGCGAGCGAAGCGAGCGAAGCTCTTATACGTCGACTTTTATGCATTTCGTAATACGCAAACTCCTCCTAGACGGCTGAATCGATCGTTTTCAAATTTTGGATGGTGATAAAGACCATATCGGTGAGTGCCAACATCTATATGGCGTTAAAAATAACTCTCAGGAATCACTGGGTCTCAAAGTTTCAATGTAATCCTTATGGAAGCAGTATTTGACACATAAACAAAAACATATGATCAGCTGTTGACTTTTGAATACAGTAGAAAAAAAAATAGCTGATAGCATTATTCCACAGATATTAGAACAAAAACGGTATGAATCATAAATATAATCAAATGACGACACTAGCTTGAGGTCCGTGACGTAGGAAATGCTAAAGGAAGTACGGGAAGCAAGGAAGTAAGGGTGAGCAGTCTGGAGTGTGGAAACTGTTTATGACGATTAGATTTAGGTATCTGCATTCCTAAAGTTCTATGGGAAGGGAGGAAAACGGGTCCGCGACGTAGGCAGTGGTGAAGGAAGTACTAAAGGTGAGCAGTCTGGAGTGTGGAAACTGTTTATGACGATTAGATATAGGTATCTGCATTCCAAAAATTATAAGGGAAGGGAGGTAAACGGGTCCGCGACGTAGGAAGTGATGAAGGTAGTAGTCAAGGCGAGCTGTCCGGAGTGTAGGGACTGCTTATGACCATTATATTAAGGTATTTCCAATCCTATGATGCTATGGGAAGGGAGGGAAACATGTCCGTGACGTAGGAAGTGGTGAAGGAAGTAGTAAAGGCGAGCGGTCCGGAGTGTGGGAACTGTTTATGACGATTAGATTAAGGTATCTGCAATCATAAAATGCTATGGGAAGGGAGGAAAACGGGTTCGCGACGTAGGAAGTGATGAAGGAAGTAGTCAAGGCGAGCTGTCCGGAGTGTGGGAACTGTTTATGACGATTAGATTAAGGTATCTGCATTCCTAAAATTCTATGGGAAGGGAGGAAAACGGGTCCGCGACGTAGGCAGTGGTGAAGGAAGTACTAAAGGTGAGCAGTCTGGAGTGTGGAAACTGTTTATGACGATTAGATATAGGTATCTGCATTCCAAAAATTATAAGGGAAAGGAGGTAAACGGGTCCGCGACGTAGGAAGTGATGAAGGAAGTAGTCAAGGCGAGCTGTCCGGAGTGTAGGAACTGCTTATGACCATTATATTAAGGGATTTCCAATCATATGATGCTATGGGAAGGGAGGGAAACAGGTCCGTGACGTAGGAAGTGGTGAAGGAAGTAGTAAAGGCGAGCGGTCCGGAGTGTGGGAACTGTTTATGACGATTAGATTAAGGTATCTGCAATCATAAAATGCTATGGGAAGGGAGGAAAAAGGGTTCGTGACGTAGGAAGTGATGAAGGAAGTAGTCAAGGCGAGCTGTCCGGAGTGTGGGAACTGTTTATGACGATTAGATTTAGGTATCTGCATTCCTAAAATTCTATGGGAAGGGAGGAAAACGGGTCCGCGACGTAGGTAGTGGTGAAGGAAGTACTAAAGGTGAGCAGTCTGGAGTGTGGAAACTGTTTATGACGATTAGATATAGGTATCTGCATTCCAAAAATTATAAGAGAAAGGAGGTAAACGGGTCCGCGACGTAGGAAGTGATGAAGGAAGTAGTCAAGGCGAGCTGTCCGGAGTGTATGAACTGCTTATGACCATTATATTAAGGGATTTCCAATCCTATGATGCTATGGGAAGGGAGGGAAACAGGTCCGTGACGTAGGAAGTGGTGAAGGAAGTAGTAAAGGCGAGCGGTCCGGAGTGTGGGAACTGTTTATGTCGATTAGATTAAGGTATCTGCAAACACAAAATGCTATGGCAAGGGAGGAAAACGGGTCCGCGACGTAGGAAGTGATGAAGGAAGTAGTCAAGGCGAGCTGTCCGGAGTGTGGGAACTGTTTATGAAGATTAGGTTAAGACATCTGCAATCATAAAATGCAATGGGAAGGGAGGTAAACAGGTCCGTGACGAAGGAAGTGGTGAAGGAATTAGTAAATGCGAGCAGTTCGGAGTGTAGGAACTGCTTATGACCATTATATTAAGGTATTTATTTCCAATCCTATGATGCTATGGGAAGGGAGGGAAACAGGTCCGTGACGTAGGAAGTGGTGAAGGAATTAGTCAAGGCGAGCTGTCCGGAGTGAAGGAAATGTTTATGACGATTAGATTAAGGTATCTGCAATCAAAAAATGCTATGGAAAGGGAGGGAAACAGGTCCGTGGCGTAGGAAGTGGCGAAGGAAGTAGTAAAGGTGAGCAGTCCGGAGTGTGGGAACTGTTTATGACGATTAGATTAAGGTATCTGCAATCATAAAACGCTATGGGAAGGGAGGAAAACGGGTCCGCGACGTAGGAAGTGATGAAGGAAGTAGTCAAGGCGAGCTGTCCGGAGTGTGGGAACTGTTTATGACGATTAGATTAAGGTATTAGCAATCAAAAAATGCTATGGAAAGGGCGGGAAACAGGTCCGTGGCGTAGGAAGTGGCGAAGGAAGTAGTAAAGGCGAGCAGTCCGGAGTGTGGGAACTGTTTATGACGATTAAATTAAGGTATCTGCAATCATAAAATGCTATGGGAAGGGAGAGAAAAGGCCCGAGACGTATGAAGCGGTGAAGGCAGTAGTCAAGGTGAGCTGTCCGGAGTGTGGGATCTGTTTATGACGATTAGATTAAGGTATCTACAATCTTAAAATTCTATGGAAAGAGAGGGAAAAAGGTCCGCGACGTAAGAAGAGGTGAAGGAAGTAGTAAGGTGAGCAGTGTGGAGTGTGGGAACTGGAAACCGTTTGTAGCAGTTAGATTAATGTATCTGCAATGCTGAAATGCTATGAGAAGAGGATGGAAGCATACCCCCGACATATAAAATGGTGAAAGAAGTAGTAAAGGCTAGCGGTGTGGAGTGTGGGAACTGTCTTTGGCAATTACATTAATGTATCTGCAATCCTAAAATGCTATTGGAAGAGAGGTAAATAGGTCCACGACGTAGGGGGTGGTGAAGGAAGGAGTTGAGGTGAGCGTGTTGAGTGTGAGAATGGATTGATGTATCTGCAATGCTAAAACGCTATGGGAAGAGACTGTAGACTGTAGGTTAAAATGATTACGAAGCACGAATCGATACATATTTCGATACATGCTGTCGTTTACAATAGTAATTTACAACAGCTAATTTTGTACTCCATAGAGGATAAAAACTATTTTTACTTCCTAAAGAGTAAAAATGTTACTTTAGACCCGCAACGCATGCATTAAAAACGACTGGTATTACTGCAGTATGACCAAAACAATATAATATAAACCCTTGATGGCTCCGCTCAATTTTGTGGATGCCTCTGCGAACGCCACCTAGTAAAATATCCCCGCAAACCTGCAGACTAAGCGAATTTCAACTTTTCTGATTACATTTTTACTAAAATATTTCCATAAATAAGACATATTTATTCCCTATATTCAAATAACATTGGATTTGACGAGTGCTTAGGTTTGCTGCTACAGAGAGGTTAAAAAGTTTTTTGACCATACATCAATAGTATAAGATGAAATAAATACATTTGCCAAATTGAATCAATATATATCAATAAACAAGTAAACTACAACAACTTTCATTTTCTCCGTAAAAATAACATGGGAATTTTAAGTTACACACTATTTTTGAATTTTCTCCGTGACCATTAGACATACAACAGCGCTTCAATATACTAAATTATTTATTTTTTAAGCTCTACAAAACGGGTTAAAAAGAAATTGCAAATTTTTTTGTTTTTACGGTCAAAAATGGGAAAACCCCATTTTCACCCCATAAAACCCCCCATAAACCAACATTATGTTTCTGAAAAAATTTTCTCACTAAAGAAATTTTTCTTTAGTCGTCTGTACCTATTTAAGCCTGAAATTATGGATATTTTTTGTGAAAACCTAATCTTGCGTAAAAATTCGCTTAGGCTGTAAGTTGCTGCTGTTGGGGCATTTCTAGAGTGTAGGCTGTTTCCGACTGAAATGTCAGCTGGTTCATTGTTGAATCAACAATCTACAGTAGAACCTCGATAACAAGACTCTTATGAGGATTATTAAATAACTAGTGTACCCGTTGATAAAAATATAACAGTTTAAAAGGGTTATATAAAAAATGATTGAATTCTAAATCAATAACACAACTTCAACTTTGTCAATAATGCAAGTTGTCAAATATTAAGTACCAAGTGCCGTATCTTCTGTACTCACTCTATTGATAAAATACCTTTCAAACAATAGTGTTGTAAACGGGTTCGAACCCCGGCACATCACACAAAGATTTTTTAAAGGCTGAAGAGGACCTAGTCCTATAGCAGCCCTGTCCGGGGAGTTTCTGCTTCCTGGACTAAATATCAAGATTTTTTACATTTTGTAGCTTTAGGGGAGCTGACTTTAGTTATTGGTGTTTTACAAAAATAGTTTGACCTCTCCAAAGAAATTTTCCTGACTCGCAGGCTCAGGCACACGAAAGTGTCTATGTGATAACACATAGAAAAGGTAACATCCTGCTAGTTGGTAATGTAATATTCAAAGGGTAGAGAGAGAGCAGAGTTAAAATTTGACTTCAATCTCAGAGGGGGCCCAATACTTATTACCATAGATCGGATGTTTATTCTATGTTTGTACTATTATCTTATACACTTCTTGACGTCATCAACAAATTCGTGTATCATCTACCTGCCCACCGTATAGTTTGTTACTCCATGTGCCGTGATATCAAACTTCCAGTTCCAGTATTCCTTGTTCTAGCTCCAGCGCTGTTTCGGTCGGCACAACAATATAACCCCAACAAGGACTGTGTTGTGAATGTTGAATGTTCAATTTTTGTGACATTTTTTATCACGGAACTAATATCCGTGTTTGTTAAACTTATCTTGTTTCAGATAGGTAGTTAGATTAGATTTAAAGACGCCGACTTTCATCGTGACAGTGAAGTGAGTGTAGGTAAATTTTGATGATATAGTTTTAGCAAACATGATTTCTTAATGAAGTTTAAGACCGTAATGTAATTATGACAACAACTGCAAGGTGCCATTGCGTAAGTGTAAATTAGCTTAAAACTGTTGTATCAATGTATAACTATTGGGATGAATAGCAACAGCTTTGAAAAGTATAATTATTTTTTTGCGTAGCTTTAAGTGTTTTTTTAGACCATCTTCGTCTCATATTTTTAATCCTTCAATAAAAAACGTGGTAGGCCTGTATTCGGAAGTCTTGGCCTAGGCTCGTGTTTATTGACTTGGTTGACTTATTTATTACTTTCACTCCACATTTTTGTTTTTAATTTCCCAAGTTCAACGATTACAGTTTTTGGTTGAATCATTTATGTAAAAATGCAGAAATGCTTGGTTTTGTTTGGTAGTTCGTACTCAAAATTTATATTTTGCCCAAATAAAAGTTAACTAGGCCTAACTGTTTCTTTCAGGGTTGCCAACATTGGTTAGGAAAAAATCGAGAATTTTTCGGGTGATGTGGTTTGTGTCTATCAAGAAACAATTTTGTTGTAACCTAGGCCTACTGCCTAGCCTAATAAATAAAGTTCTCAAAACTCACGAATTTATAATTTTACCTCATCCACTTAAATAAAGTGTTAAAAAAGATTTTTTTTTTACCCGCCATAAGAATTATAACTTAGGGATTTATTTTTACAACAATCTGTCAAATGTAAAACTGATTGACATAAGTTAGGCTAATAACTTACTTATTCTTAAATAAGTTAGGCCTACTTAATAACTTACTTAAAGGCCTTACATAAAACTATAATTAATTACATAACTTAATAAACTTACGATAGGCAGCGATAGTCCCATCGAATTCTTCGCTCCAAAAATAGGGGATCAACATGGGTTTGTACTGCATTACCGACATATTCCCTAGAGCCATAGCCTATACATGTATCCTAGTAAAAAGGGGGGGGGGGGTTTATCCCGTAACGGAAATGGGGGCAATAGGCCTATAAGTGTTATAATAGGGGGTATTTGTATTGAGGAAAATGTAATAATAATAATAATGTAATCAATGTTAATAAAAAATATATATATTATATTAGGGGGGCATCCCCCCCCTGCCTTGTAAGTAGAAATGGGAGATCGTAGGGGGCAGCGATAGTTCAATTGAATTCCTCGCCCCAAAAATAGGGGGTATAACTTATAGCCTACATGAGTTTACCGTAATTAAGCTTGGTTACTGCTTTACCAACAAACTCCTTAAAAAGGGGGGTTTTTGCCCCCAACGGGAAAAGGGGGCAATATAAGTGTTAAAAAGGATATTAAAGAAAATATAATTAAGTACGGTAATCAATGTAAATTAAAAAATAATAGGTTAAGTTAAATCCTACTATATTTTTTTATTTGGGGTCATTTCTTCCTCTTGTAAGAAGGGGGGAAGGGGGCGTCGGTGGTTCCATCAACTTCCCCCTAAAATAGGGGTTTGGTTTATATCAATATTTTCAGCAAGTTACAGCATTTCCTCATTGTCTGTTGTGTTTATCATGTGGATGTTTGACATTTAATTTAGAATTGAAGCCAAAATATTTCACTCAATTACCAGCTGATATAAGAATTACGGTACACATCTAAAAGGATAACTTGTAGATGGTTAAGGCTCTTAAGTTAACTTTTGTATTTATTTGCTCGTCGCTCAATTTCAATTTTAACTCTTGTATTATATTTGACTGTATTAACTGAATTCCTTGTTATTTATACATTTATTTACCCAAGACTGAATACGAGATGTATTTACCAACAATTTGACCTGTCTATGCATTACATATGTAAAAATGATGAATACATGTCTTATGTCTTAAGTAGCACTGACTGCATTATCAAAAGACATTTCTTGGTGGGACCTAAGTTAACTTATAGGACCATGAAAGCTTTCAAATTTTATTGCAGTCCACTCCTAACTATCTGAAAATGTGTTTACAAAATAACCCTTTTTAGCTTTTAACGAATAGCCTTTATCAAAATGGAATATTATCACATTAGGTTGTGGGTGGTACATGGAATGATAAAGTTATATCTAGAATAGTTGGTGAAACATTCACTGCAAAGTCTTTGCACTTCCTGGAAGCATAAAATGCTGACTCAATGCAGCATATCAGTTCTCCGTGGGCTGTGTTGCTGTGTCAGTGTGGTGTGTTGCTGTCGTAGCTTGTTATACTTGACACTATAGTTTAGTCTGTGACTAACATTTCTCTCAACGTATTACAGACTGTTTTAACACAAGTTGACCAAATCTACTCAGCCACTCCTTCAGAGCAGGGAATTGGATCTGAAACTACAGATTGGTAAGACACTTATTTTTTTTCATACGGTACTGTAAGCCAATATCAACAATTTTTAAAATAACAACACTTTTTTCCTTTTCTGTGGCAGCAAACCTAGGTAGGCCTACTCATTAAATCTAATGTTATGTAAACAAAAAATAAATCTGATGTTAAGGAAATATTTTCTAGTGAAAATCCAATCAGACAAATAGAAAATGCTTTGTCTGCAGGTTTGCTTTGGTTGGGTATTATTATCTTGTAGATTAAATTTGATGGAATGTTTATAGCAATATGTGCATACCAAATCGAATTATAAAATCCTAGAGTCCCAATTGGTGATTCTATTTCTGTTTGGACGACCAGTGGTTTTGAATCTAATGTTTAAAATCAAAGACTAAACTACTGTGCTTAATTGCTCATGCCTCTGTATCCCAAAGGCTGTAAAAAATGTCATAAATAATATTTGTCGGAGTTCATGACAGTTCTTTAGCATCGCTCGCATTTGACTACGGTAATTAACTTTTATTTTTTAAGCAATCAGTTGTTTACCCAAAACTAGAATAATATCTTACTGTACTCTAGCTATTTTAAGCAAGTGATACAAAGTAAAACATATTAATATCTTTCTATTTAATTATTGCTGTAGAAGAAGAACCACATTCATAACACCTCTAAAAAGTAAAATTCAGTATGTTTTCAAAATTATGGTTTTAAGAAATGTTGTTGATTTAAATTACACGCTAGACTAACGATATATCACGCTTTATTTTCATTAATTTTACAGTACGGAATAGAGTTTTGGGCAGTTACCTCTGATTCGTATAAACATGTTAAACTTCAAAAAAGAATATTTAGAATTACGCCTATGTCTTTTTAACCCTTAAAACATTCTTACAAACAACTTTTTAAATAACTAAAGATTCTAACCGTCCCTAATTTGTATATTCTTAAATGTTTATTGTATGTGAAATCAAATTTTGAAAATCTCTACAGTGAAAAGATTTGGCACAATTATAACACTGGATTTCATACAGATTTTCAATTTAAATCTTATGGAAAGGACACCTTCTTAAATGGGGAAAAAATGGGAAAGTTTTTAACAACTTGCCAGGGTACTACAAATCAATAATAGGATTAGCATCTTTTAAAGAAAAGATTGTTGGATTTTTGTTGGAAAAGAATTACGGTATTATATTCAGTTTCTCAAAGACAAATCAACTTGAATTTTGTGATTTTGTTGCTATGTATTTATTTTTACCATTAACCTAGTTTATTTTAGTATAGATTGATAATGTCACCTGTTTTTGTCTGGTTGTGCCAGAGCGTTGAAAAAAACGTCATGTGACAAAAAAGATGACTTTGACCATTGACTATATAACACTCTTCTGTCTAGTATTATATAGTCGATGCTTTGACTTATTTTGATTCCAGGATTGTTTTCTTTGTCCCATTTACATTCTTTTAAATTTTAACTAGGTTTTGGCCCTTTGAACTTGGAAAATATCATGATTGATTTATCTTACTAAGTAGGGTAGGCCTAATTTTAAACTAGGAAATTATTTTATATTTATGGGACCTCATCATGCAGTAAAAAATTAAATTAGGTAGGTACTCCACAAGTTAAAATAGAATAACAAATTCTTGTGTGTCTTTGAATTTACTGTTCTTAAAAAACTTGAGCTACTATATCAAATGTTATCACCCCCCCCCCCCCCCCCCAGCAAAATAAGAAAATTCCAAATCATCTTATTAGAATTTTATTAAAACATTTTTATATTAAGAAGTATTTAACTATTTATAAATGTAATTATTCCCAATTTAAATAACATTAGATTTAACAAAAGCTTGTCCAAATTTAAAAATATTATCAAACATTTTAAAATTAATTTAATAAAGAGATAAAAATTAGGAAGCGTTAATTAAATGTTATCTTTAACTAGTCGTGAAGTAATTGCAGCAACTTTGGGGCTTAAATTTAACATCATAAAAGTGTTAGCCTAAATATTATTTTAATAGTTAAGATTTAAACTTACTAAACTTAGTAAACTACTGGATAGTAGAGTGGTGTATAGCGCTTTCCATCCTCAACATAACCTTTCAAAACAACTTCCAACTTGGAACTTGGTATTAATTTTAGACTCTTTTGTTAGCGATTCAATCGTTTCGTCTATTACGGACAGTTGTGTTAGTGTATGTTATCGATATGTTGAACTATTGCCAAGAATGCATCAAATGATACATGCAAATGCTTACAATTGAAGTTTGTAAATGAGTTTACAACAGCTGATATTTCTATTGATTCGTTATCCCTAAAACATTTAGAATCATTGTATACAAAGGCTTTTCTCTTCGTAATTTGTTAGCTAAAATGTGGTTGTATCCTAAGTATGATGGTAAAATAAAATAGTAACTGTGATTACATTTTGTACATTCAACTAATAATTATGTATTTTGTTATGCAAGTCATCAAAGCAGTCATCGAGCAAGTCATCAAGTGTAAACTCCGTAGACTATTTTTTTAGTAATATTATTGTGAAATTGAAATAGCATGGTCTTAATTTGTAAACCAATGTTTCAGATTTCGAACGGTGCTATATGAATAGTAAATATGGCTACTAATCAAAAGTCAACCGCATTATATGAAAAGACAAGAAAGCATGCTAGAAAAGGAAAGTCCCATCCTTTTACTCACAGCAGAAAGAATACTAAATTAAAAGAAAAAAAACATAAAAGAGAACTTGTAAAAAGTGAACTAAAACTAGTTTTGGAAGATCAAGATTCATGTGATTTTGAACAAGTTAATGATTTGCTTTTCAGTTCAAACAAAATTGATTATGAGGTGTTGACATCATTTATGGATTTATTAAGCCAGACATTCATTGATGAGTCAACAAAAAAATTGGAAGTCCTACAGTGGGTGTTTCAGAAGAATTTTTTAGATTCAGTTTTGAAACTGATACAAGAAAAAACTAAAGAGATGATAAAAACTGATGATGGAAGTGACAAATGTGAACAATTCTTCAGAAACTTTCTTAGACTGTCTGCATTAGCTATCAAACATTTACCTGCATCAAATCTAAATTTTTTAATACCTACGTTGATGTATATCAAAAACATTTTAAGTAGATTAGAAGAAAAAATTAACATAACTTGCCATCATTTTGATTTTGATGAAATGGTAAATCTAATAAATGAAAAGGCTAAAATTGAGGAACTTGAAAGAGAGCAAGTATCATCAAGCGATGTTAAAAACATGAGAAACATGAGTGTTCTACCAACAGTGGAAGACTTATTTCAAAAACCACCTGAGCTAAAGAAGAACATTGTTGAAGGAGCTTACACAAATGTTGACCATTATCTCACCGTTCAATTTGCCCTGCTTCGTGAGGACTTTGTGGCGCCTGTTCGAGAAGGAGTTCTAGAGCATTTATCTCGATCCAGCATTGCTAAAAAAAGAAAGACCCAAGTAGTAATGTGCCACGGGGTTAAAATATGGCATGCCACTATAGACAAAGGAAAGTTTGGTCATGTGGTTCAGTTGGCCGGGAATATAAAGTGGGAAATTGTTACTAAATTTTTCATCTTTGGATCCCTCCTTTTGTTTACCACAGATTCCTTTAAATCCTTCTTCGTAGGGACTGTTATTAATGTGAACGATAAAACTGAAACTGTCACAGTTAAACTTGATATAAATTATTTTAAAGTCTGTAACAACATCTATGCAGATGAATTCACCATGGCAGTTTCTAAAGTATTTTTTGACCCCTACTACCAAGTACTGAGTGCACTACAATCAATGCCTACAGATAATTTTCCCATGGAGAAGTACATAGTTGATGTAAGTTCAGAGTCTAGCCCTCCTGCCTACATAAACAAGTTGCACCTTAGTAACTACACATTCTTTGGAAATATGTCTGTTAATATTATGGATCAAAACTGGCCCGAGTTCACTGAAGTTAAGTTCAATCCATCCCAGCAAGAAGCGTTCCAAGCAGCTTTGACTAACGAGTTTGTAGCGATCCAAGGGCCTCCTGGGACAGGGAAGACATTTCTCGGTCTGCAGATAGTCAATGCGCTTTTAGACAATGTAAACAGTTCTTCCCCAATTTTGGTTGTGTGCTATAAAAACCACGCATTGGATCAGTTTCTGGAAGGGATACTGAATACAACCGAAAAGATAGTCAGAATTGGTGGAAGGAGTCGAAATGAAAAACTAAAAAACTTTAATTTAAAGGTACTTCGAGGCTCTTACGGGATTGATTTACATAACGAGGTTTTAGAAGAACTAGCAACAAGTTACTTTAAGAAACAGTATCAGTTGGATGGTCTAAGTAAACATGGTATCCTCTCAGTGGACAATGTGCTTCCTTATGTACCTCATGAATTGAGAGAAGAACTACTCAGCACAAGCCTGGAAGATTGGTTGATGGAGGGGGCTTTTCTAAATGAAGAAACTGAAGACACCCGATATGAGGAGTTATTGGACACAGCTGACAAGATTAACGACAACAACGAGGATTCTGAACAGTTAAATGCGTGTTCAGAACAAGATAACTGTCCAGTAAGTAACAGCGAGAATATTTTTCAACAAGAGAAGTTTTATTTTGCAGAAGAAAGTAAACAACGCTATGTTGAAACGTACATCGACGATTACTCCGAGGTCTATGATAATATTGCTGGGAAGGCCCAAAAGGAGGTGATAGAAAACATGGGAGAGTGGGAAGATAGAGGCAAAGTTTCAGTGCTCAAACCTTATTTTACTCTTACAATTCGTTTTTTAAAAGAATATCGAGATATATTAGAATTCCAAGCAATGGAACTGCAGAAAAATGGTGAAGAATGTATTGACCTGGACAGAGAGAAGGAGGACCTAACAAAGGAAATTGGTTTCTTAAAAAGAATGCTCAACATGAAGAAATTCAACAAACCAAAAGAGCTTCAGGAAATATGTTTGATAGCAGAACAAAAGGGAATGTGGGCTTTATCCAACCGTCAAAGATGGTTGTTGTACCATTCTTGGTTACATAGGTTAGCAGAAGACATGAGGGGAGAATTGATGAGATTGGAAAAATCCATTCGTTCTGCAGAAGAGATGATTGATGTGGCAAGAAGTGGAGCGGATTTGAAAATTTTGGAAAAGGCGAAAGTAGTCGGAGTTACTACATCTGGAGCCGCCTCAAATCGTGCAACACTGAACAAGCTGGGAGCAAAAATTGGTAAGATTTAATTTACTTTCCAAACAATAAAGTGTCGATTACACATTGAAAAAATACAGCATATAGGAATGTTGAATTTAGCCACAACAAAAGTTGTTAAAATAATACTGGATTGACATACAGGGTGAGGTGGTGAAACGGCATGATTTTGAAAAATTACAAATAATTCATTTAGAAAAAAAGGATCGTTGTTTTAATTTAAATCCTAAGTACATGAGTGGAAATTAATGTTTTGCCTTAAAAATGATTGCACACATTATTGAATTACGAATTGAAATCAGCCAATGACGTTTTTTAGCATTTGCATAATGTCTGGAATGGTTTTATAGTGCTTTGTCGTGCTAGCAGTGGCTTCAAAGCTATTCACCCAAAGGAGGTTAGCTGTACTTTATGGCACAGGAGCCTGCAACGATAGACTGAACTCACAACGGAAAGTGCGCTGAGCACAAACCATAATATCCAAGTTTTTTGTAATACGCCTTTACCGCAAACGCCTGCTGTGCACTCGCTCAACACTCCATGGCTACTGAAATTTCCACTTGTCTAGAGGCCTATGGTCATTTCCCCCGTACTCTGATAGCCCCCAATTCCTTGTCAGCTGGTATCGGAATCTTGTTGTTTCACTGCCTCACCTGTATTATATGTATAGTAGACTGAAATTGCCATTTTATTACAGTTAAGTACATCACTCCATCAATACAACATAATGTAACAGATACAGCCAGTTATTATATTTTTTTTAAATTATAGTCGAATTAAAAATCTTTCATAGTGATAAGCTACAGTATAAATTATATAAAATTTTCTATTATTTTACTACTTCAATATTTTTAGTTAGTTTTTTACAAATGGTAACTTAAAGGGCAGGCCTACTAAGTGTTTAAACTTTTAGTTTACCGGTGTTTATCAATACATAAAATGAGCTTAATTTGTTCAACACTCATCCATCTTTAATTTTCTCATTGAAATAAGTACGTCAGTCTAATCTAATCTATATTTAGCCTGTTATTTTTTTGGATTATTCAATTTTTATGGTGTATTTGACTTTTTCAGTTTATGCATTAGTGAAAAAACATAATTTAGCCCTGCTAAAAATTGGCCTAGTAGAAAGAATCATATTTGTCAATAGAACACTCTAGTCTCAAGATTTTTCGACCATTGAGGAGTCGAGTATAAAAATAGTCAATGATTCAACTATATGTTTTCATTCATCTAAAACTTTGAATAATTTTAAAAAGTTAGTGTAAAAGTTCAAAATATTGTGTTCAAAGTCTGATGCAGTTTTATATAAATCTTGTAGATTGTGTTTGAATTTAAATGAATCAGTTAAGAGTAAAAAAGCCTCCGTATAAACATATAAGCACCAGTACTGTTGTATATCACAAGAGTTGATGGTAATACAACTTAAAATCAATGATGTAACATTGATATCACTCAATGTATGATTTGATATTTTATAGTAATAATAGAAGAGGCAGCTGAAGTGTTAGAGTCCCATATCGTAACTTCTCTGAGCAGCAGTTGCCAGCATCTCATACTGATTGGTGAGTGGAGTGATTTATTTATAAAATAAAATACGTTTGGTTTTAGAGGAAAGGTATAGAGGAAACACGCTGATGGGACTACCGTGTGCTATCAGCTCTGAAATGTGCTGGAAATATACTTGTGGTGAGCAAGGAAGAGCTTGTACGGTGAAAACTGTGTGGAAATTCCTATCATACAGGGCCTGTCACCACTGTCAGCGTTGTACTACTTGATGTAAATGGAGGGGGGTGGGTTGCAGCACCTTTCCCTAGGCACCAGCATCGGTGCTAAAACCACTAAAGTGTATGCAGTGTGTCCTCAGTTTCTTACTACTCTGCGATTCCTTACTACACTGGGAAATCAAAAGTTACATACAGTAGACTCCCTCTTATCCGGACTCCTCGGGTCCGAGGCCAGTCCAGATAAAGGGTTTTCCAGTTAAGCCGACGTCCCCAAAAACTCGTTAAAACGGACTATTTACTGTGATATTCGACTTAAATTTAGGAGAGCATTGTATTTAGACATGTGATCACTGGTCTCAAATCTTTCCCACGAGAACAGTCGTTTCAGTACCGTCCACATCCTGCCGATCTAGTTCAGTTAAGCCAATGTGCTGATAAAAATTGTAGGGTTAAAGAGATGTCATTCCGTCAAGTGTAGTCCGGTTAAACCAATGTCCGGTTAAAAGGTGTCTGGATAAGAGGGTGTTTACATAGGGTTTTTATTACTATAATAGTCTTTTATTTTATCCAATTTCCTTTATGCTGCTTGTTTGTAATTCTCCATATTATATTGAAATACAAGTCAAACAATTTTTTGAAACTATCGAAGCAGAAAATGTAGGTTACCGCTCCACCTAAAATGTAACATGTCGAACCATACTCTTTGAGCCAATTTTATTTATACTTGGAAATAATGTAGGCAAATTACAAATTCCCTCATTCTCTGGGCTTCTGCAACTGGAGCAAAAACACTTCTATAGACAAAATTATTTTAGAAAGTAACTATAGTAGCCTGGGTCATAATTGATTGGTGAATCACATGAGCTGCTGTAGTATTTTTGAATTTACAAAGCTTTGTAAAACATTAGAATTGAACTAGAAATAGTCAATTAGTGTTTCAATAACCTTCATGTTTTGTACAGGTGATCATAAACAACTGAAACCAAACCCAGCTGTCTTCCAGCTATGCAAGAAATATAACTTTGACGTCTCACTTTTTGAGCGTATGGTAAGAAATGGCATGAATTGCTACTCGCTGAACGTTCAGCACCGAATGAGACCAGAATTCGCATCTTTGATTGTACCAACCATTTATCCTGAACTCGTCAGTCATTCGAGTACCAAAAAACGTCCAGATATTCGAGGTATCCACAGTAACCTCTACTTCATCAACCACAACAATCCTGAAGAACAGGTAAGTGTTCAGTTACCTAAATAAATGTGAACTATAATGTTACCTAAATATGATGTTTATGGGGAACGAATACACTGCAACCAAAAATATCTATTATGCCCTCAAACTTGCGCCCAGTCCTGCATTGGGCCCCCTCCAGCCCCAATTGCTTGACAATATCCAGTATCTGAGGGGGTTTTAACAGGGGAATTTCCCCAATACCTGGGGAGCGAGCTGGTCTAGTGGTTAGAGCGCAGGACTTCAGTCCCTGAATTTCTGGGTTCAAATCCCGCCAAATCACCAATGGATTTGATTTAAGTGATAATGATGCAAACCCTAGGTCTAGCCTGAAGTAATGTGAACAACAATCCCAGGCTCGTGCCTAGCGTCTTAGGACAAAAATAAATCTCTTACTGGTACAGCCCCAAACTCTTGACTATGTTGCGGCTGACTGCTTCGCAATCTAATAAGATGCCTTGGGGTTTCTGCTAGAACCCCGATTGGTAGAATTCATTTCCGCGTTACTCAATATCCTTCCTTATGGAGTATTCTTTATAGAATATGGCAAGTTCTTTTTTGCCATCTCCCCTACCTGAGGCTGGTTTATCACATCTGTTTCCCATTTGCCATTGCTTTAGTTTGGGTTGAAGTGTCCATGCTCTTCAGCATGGTTTTGTTCACCAATTTTCTTCCAGGAAACATAGGTACTAGCTAGTGCCTTCCCCACTGAATGCTATCCTATGTCGATCATCCTTCCCTCTCGGTTCTCCTGGCTGAGGATATCTTGTATGACTACTGCTTCCACAAGAAGCTATAGGGATCTGAAAGTCAACCCAGACAGAGCCCCACATGCTCGGGTAAATCTGATCGCTCCAGATTTCCTGCAGGTACTGTTTGAAAAGATTCTGTGCCATCCACTCCTCAGCACGATTCACGTGGCACCTTCAGTTGCCCTGTATCCTGTATCAGATTTTAATCTATATACTGAGCCATATTGGAGTCCATAGAATTAAATTGATGTTAAACCATTCAAAAGTATTAATTTTTACAATATTTTATCATTTTCTTTCAGTTGTTGGAGACTCAGAGTCACGTGAACAAGCATGAAGCCAAGTTCGTTTTGGAACTCGCTCGCTATTTAGTTCTGCAAGGCTACTTGCCAAACGAGATCACCATCTTGGCTACTTACAGCGGACAGATGAAAAAAATTATGAAGGTTTGTATGTAAACTTTAATGTTAAATCAAATAAAAACTACATACAGAAATATACTTTAGCTACAACCGTTTTTTTAAAGTTGCCGTTTCAGTACAGTTCTTAGAATTGAAAAGTATCTCATAACAGCATTGTTTACTTCATAACAGCATAGTTTTACTCATAACAACACGGGTAACGGACCAATGAGGTTCAAGGATTGAGAGAGAAGAAGTAAAATTGTAATGATTCGAACTTCAACTAATCAGCTGTTTACCAATTTAATTGTTATTGATTGGTGAAATTAGTGTTTGGTTCAATGTTTCCTTGCATCACTGTCAGTGGCAATGGGAGGTTATAAACGAAAACATAACCTCTCTTAGAAGTTTTAAGTAGTGATTTTTAGTAATTAAAACACTGTCGTAGGTAAAGTAGTGTACGCAAGGATTGCGTAAATAGTGTTAACGACACTCGTAGAAGTTTTTATGGCACTCGCCAAGGCTCGTACCTTAAATTTTCTACTCGTGTCGTTAACACTATCTTTACGCAATCGTTGCGTAAACTACTATTTATGGTTAGTTTGAGTGTGAATATGAATACAAAAAATAATAGAGACTAGACAGCTAAATCTGATGTACAGAGTGTATAACGTTCTAGGTTTAAATCCTGGCAATCACAATGGCCTTACTGTGACTTAATGGTGCAAACCATTGCTCTAGGTCCACTAGGACCTTTCAAACCTTCGGTGCAAATATTTATTACATCTAAGTTGCCTTTATGTTTTACTTTTACTACATCAGCAACATTTGGAAAATTGTGTTTTTGAGTTTGTTTAGCAAAAGATAGCAAAAGCGTATTTGCTCACGTTTTAAATTGGCCAATTAAGAAGTTAGTTCTGGTTCTTATATTCTAAATTATATTTGTAATTTTAGTTACTCTACCAGTATAGTGTATGCCACGGTAATTTGTTTATACCCAGGTTGCAGGTAGGTATTTATGACCTAACCAACTAAACCTTCTCGTCTTTCTGTTAGATGTTTTTTATTTGGCCCTCATACCATGTTTTGGGGCACTTCATTTTCTCCCTCATAGTAATCTTAGATGGACAAAATAAAGAATATTATATTTTGACGATGCACTCATATTATTCTCACAAGAAAACCATTTCCAGATGAGGGACCAAGAGATGAGGGAGGTGAGAGACGTACGGATAACAACAGTAGACGACTTTCAAGGCGAAGAAAACAAAATTATAATATTATCACTTGTACGAAGTAACGAAGAAGGAAAAATCGGTTTCCTAAAAACTGAAAACCGAGTGTGTGTCGCCCTTTCTCGAGCCAGAGACGGACTCTACATCATCGGCAATATGGACTGTCTTGCAGAAAACAGCCAGATTTGGCCTCAAGTTAGAGATAGGTTGATGGAGCATAATGCAATAGGTTAGTATGAGAATGTCTAATGAAGTAACTATAATAGTCAAGATATTTTGAAGATTTGTAGACCAATATCGAATTTAGAATAAGGAAGAAGGTAGATGAACTAAGGTGTTCAGAAACATTGATAGTCACTAGGCTAAATTTACCTTATTGAACTGTCACAGCCCATAAATACCATAGATCAATTCTATCTTTATCTTGAATATTTCCTTTCATTGACGTACATTTTGATTGTTTTTTTGTGTTTATGATCCGACTAAATTCATAGCAATTGGGCCCATAGAGTCAATAGTTTTTTTTTATCTGACATAACCGTCATTGAAAAGGTCTTAGATAAAGAAACAGCTGATTAGTCAGTAACAAAGCTAAACAAAGCATCTCGCTATATTCTACAAACATCCTTAATTGGTAGTAGGATCAAATATGCTCACTTGCGCACCTGTCGTAATTGGTAATAACTCGGAGAAGGAAGGTACAGCGGAAACATTCAATGGTACACTTAAGTGGTGTCTAGAACTAGTGCTGGTTTCTAGAACTATTACTGGTGTCTAGGGCAAAGTCAAAAACTGCCCCCTTGCCCTCATTTACTACAACGCTCATAGTGGAGAAAGACCTTGTGCCCTGTGCAATAGAAATTTCTGCAGAGTGCTCACTGCGCTGGCTTTTCCTTGCTCGTCACAAGTATATTTCCAGCACATCATACCAGAGCTGAAGGCGCACGGTTGTCCCATAAGCGTTCCTCTGTACCTTACTTCTCTATGTGGTAATAATAATAACTATGGGCATACACAGAGGAGGGCCCAGGAAAGTTTAAAATTTATTCTCTGTGAGTTTTTACACAGATTACAGCTACAAAAAATATGTTAAATAATTTTCTAAAACTATAATATTTTTATCGGCAAGAAAAATTTTTTAAGCAAGTTATATTGGGTCGTTTCAGAAGAGGGCCTTATCCTCAAATCCCCAGGACAAGATATAATTTCGTCCATCTGGGAAAAATCTCTTTGGGCATTCATACAATAATAATCATGAAACAGTTCCCATATTTCAAGATGATTTTCAAAACTATCGGTAAGAGCATTCAGCGGTGCTGAAATAGTGTATTTTGACCAGGTGAAAGTCTGAGTGTGTATTGTGAGAACCATCGGGAGACTAAGTCTCTAGTCAAGGACGGAGCCATGTTCCAGCAGATGCCGCAGGGAGGCTGCAGTCGTAAGTGTGAGGTAAACCTCGGCTGTGGTCACAAGTGCAAGTACCACTGTCATCCTAGGGATCAGGAACACCGGGGTCGCTACATGTGCCCTGCTCCCTGTGAAAGGTATTTGCTCGCTCATTTCTTCCATATTTGTATAAGCCATATTTATGTTTTATTAGTTTAATGCTCTTGTCGTTTGTGTTATGTGTTTTGCTACAGTAACAGACCTACCCAACTTAATTGGATGATCTACATAGTTTTTGTGGCACTTTAAGAAAAAGGTAAAATTCACTTTCAGGGGAAAAACTTTATTTACTACACAGAAATGTAAAAATGTAAAGATAGAGTCTAAAAATCCCAAAACTGAAAATTTAAAATTAAAACTAACCTCTACCCAAAGCTCCAGCCTTTCTGAACTTTGGGCTCCAACTTCCCCCACGGGACCTTATTTTCCAAACACCTCCCACTGCATCTTACAAACTGACACCTACATCAAGTCCACCACTACAACAGCCACCTGTAGGTCAACACAACAAGCTGTTTTTCAACTCTCCCACCCTACTCGCACAACATATCCAATCACCATATGACTCCCTGTAACTTAAGTAATTTCTGGTTTTCAACAGGACATGCAAATTGCAACATCCTTGTCGCAAACCCTGTGGCAAAGATTGTGGACCTTGTCCGTTCCCAGTAGAGTTTCTTCTGGATTGCAACCACACGAGGAAAGCAGCTTGCGGTAGTGATCCGGCTAAGATTCAATGTCGTGAGAATGTACCTTGCATACTGCCATGCAACCACGACTCAACCAAACTATGTTACCAGACTGATGAAGAAGTAAGAACAATAAAGTGCAAGAGTGTTTGTGGCCAAGCTATCCCTTGTGGTCACCAGTGTCAGAAACCCTGCCATTACCTTGAGAGGTGGTGCTTTTATTATGTAAGTTTCATGGGTTTATGAGTGTTCAAATTGTTTTCTCAATGGATTTTGTAAGTTTTGAACAATTTATTTAGATGTTTGAAATGCGTTTCCTGATTATTACACGAGTTTCTAAAAATTTCAATGATGAATCTAAATGAAGGATTTAAATGGTGGAACTGTATTACCTGTCAGAAAGTATCTTCTGATTGAAGATGGAAATAGTGTATTATTTAGCTGAAAGTGAGTTATGCAGGATAGTGGCCTATGTGTGTGTGTGCGCAAGTCCGTCAGCATGATGACTCAAGTAAAAATCCATCTGATTTTTTATAGTTGGTAAACATATGTTTATTTAAACGAGTTTGCAAACCAGCATGATTGCATTGTAGGATCAGGGTGTTACAGGGTTTCAAAGTAAAATTGGGTTTTCCCATTTTGATAATCAAAATATAAACTTTTGCAGGTTTATTTCCGACCTATTTAAAAACAAATAGCTTATTACATTGAAGTGTTTTTGTACCGCACATGGTTACGGAGAAAATTCCACATAAGTATAAATAACAAATTCTTATGGAGAGTAAGAAATAGAAAACTGTTGTAGTTTACTTGTTTATGGATATATTTTGATCAAATTTAGTAAAATTGTCTATTTCATTAACACTTAAATTAAAAAATATAACTTCATTCATGACATTCCTAAAGTAGCAGTTGACCTAAAGTACTTAAGGAAAATAAATCTAACATGAACATGTTTAAGGGAATATTTCAGGAAATCTGATTAGGCAAATTGAAATTTGCTTAGTCGGCAGGTTTTCTGTGGTGGGGGTAGTTTGTTTATGTTTATGTTGAGGATTTTCAAAGCGAGTAGGGTATTATATTTGTAAAGTATGTTTGTATTTGTTTGACTATAGGCTACCTAATCAACTCATCATGGTGTGAATTTAGACACAGGCAATTTAGCCAATACTTTTTTTAAGAAAATTTAAAAATTCAAAGAACTATTTACATGGTTTTCCTTATTTTCAGAAGTGCGAAGTTATCGCTGAAAAAACACTGGACTGTGGACACAAGGTCGAGTTTAAATGCTGTGAGAAAGACAAAGTAATGTTGGATTGTCATCAAATAACTGAGAAAGAGTTAAGATGTGGCCATCTTCACACAGCTCCTTGTTCCAGTTTCAAGTATAATATAACAAAGTGTCTTGAATTGGTTGAGAAAAAGTTAATTTGTGGCCATAAGGTTGAGTTAAAATGTTGTGAGAAAGACAAAGTAATATTGGATTGTGATCAAATAATTGAGAAAAAGTTAAGCTGTGACCATCTTCACACAGCTCCGTGTTCCAGTTTTACAAAAAATACTACAAAATGTCTTGTCTTGGTTGAGAAACAACTTGAGTGCAATCACACGGAAACACTTCCCTGTGGACAACCGATTGATGAAATAATTTGTACCAAAGAAACTTCAAGAAAACTTCTCTGCGGTCATAGTGTCATAGGGCAATGTGGCACACCTTTGGATAAACTTCAATGTAAAAAGCCTTGTGCTAAAGTTCTAAAGTGTGGGCATCCTTGCAAGAAAACGTGCTACAAGCCATGCCTATGTAAAACTATTGTAAGTATTTATTTACTTCTTAATAAGCATATTACATTTTATTTACTTTCTGGAGTATTTGTCAAAAGAGCCAAATAATCAGATTTGTTTTCAGCGGGCGTGTGCAACTTATTTGTAGATGAAAAATAATTTCTTGGTCCAAAAATTAAGATGGAATCAAAGAACTTTGTCCAACAAAATATGCTGAGTAGAGTATGTTTTTTAGTCTCTCGTAGCAGTTTTGGAAGTTATTTTCATATCAGACAGTCTGAACAATAATATTTTATTGATGAACATTGAACTTTTGTAATAACTCTAAGTTAAAGCCTAATGGCTAATAATAATTAATTGGCAACAGATGAGTCTATGTTTGAATATATTATATTGCTTTAGCATCCAAATTCCAACCATCCGAATCGCTTACAGAAAGCTTAAAAAATTAAAACTACAGTTAATTGTCATTAATAAAGGCAGAAGCCATGATAGCAGCAAAATCTATAACCTCTCTCGTAAAAAAGGTAGACATCCTCTTCATCGGCTCCTGCGGTCACAGAAACATCGTCATTGTTTTTTCGATAGTGGCAAAATCTTTTACATCTTCCGCTGTACATCATATGTCTCCCGTGGTCAAGGAAACATCAAGAATGTTTTCCGTTATCATGGCCAAATCTTCAACATGTTCCGCATTATTATAGATTATGATCATCGTCTCACGCGGTGACGGAAACACCAGGAACTTTTTTTACGGTTGCGGAAAATTCTTAAATATCCTCCTCGGTCTTGAACGCATCATCTTTGTCTCTCACAGTTACAGAAAAAAGCATAATCGTCCCCTGCAATCTGTGCGACAGCGTGAATTTTTTGTAAGGAAAAGCTGGACTCTGACTTTATCTGTAAAATACCCAACTTCAGGAAAAATCCAATTAATTGAATTTTTTATTATCTGAATGTGGTACAGACCCAATTGATTAGGATAGTGGAGTTCTAACTGTACTCAGTTATCATATTACAAATTTTGCCTCACTGTGATTGCAGGTCGAAAAAGAGTTGGAATGTGGTCACAAAGTAAAGACCAAGTGTTCCGTGACTCCTGTATGTGACCAACCTTGTGAACGTGTCTTATTATGTGGTCACAAAGTAAAGACCACATGTTCCGCTGTAACTCCTGTATGTGAGCAGCCTTGTGAACGCGTCTTGTTATGTGGCCACAAAGTAAAGACCAAATGTTCTGCGAAGACTCCTGTATGTATGCAACCTTGTGAACGTGAGTTGACATGCGGTCATAAGTGTAAAGACAAGTGTGGGGCTAAGTGTGATGTCAAGAAATGTAAAAAGCTGGTTCTCTCCAAAGTGAAACCAGACTGTGGACACGATCCAATGATGGTACAGTGCTGCTTCAACCATACGGGTATGTATTAATTTGGTATTGACTATTGAGTTGTGCAAAAAGAAGTGCAAGGTTATTTCTTTTCCCTCTTTACGTACAGTAGTACCTCTTTAATCCGAACCCCCGTAATCCGAACGTCCACTAATCCGAACCCCTCATTGCTGTACTCTACACACAGTACAGCCAGTTCTTTATTGTATACTGTATTTAATTTACAGTACTGTTTATTCACCATATTTACTACTGTATTAAATAAACACTGCATTTTACTTTATAAAACATTTTTTTCACTTTTCCCAAAATAATGTTGATCAATTTTAGCCATATTTTAGCTATTGTTATGTAAAAAAAAAACAATATGTTCTGTAATCCGAACTATTCAATAGTCCGAACTACCCCTGGTCCCAATTAGTTCGGATTAAAGAGGTTCTACTGTAGTAGGTATATGAATAAAGTAGGTGTTTTTGTCAAACATTTCGAGTTTGAGTTTTGCGTTGTTATATCCATTTAGGCCCCCATGAATAAAAAAAGTGGTTTTCAAAGTGATGATGTCTGTGTATAGAGTTACGGACCACAAAAAAACCATGGATTTTTATTGGTTTTTAAATTAGATTCTAAAACTATATATAGGCCTATAGACTAGCAGAGTACCCGTCCTTCGTACGGGGTTGGAATATAAGTATAAAATACTTATTGCAGTTATACTCAAGCTATGCGTTTGCAATAAGGAAGGACACAGTTTGATAAAATTTGCTTTTTTAAATTTACAGTATTCTATAGTATTACACATCTACTATAGCCATAATGTTCTACCACTTCACCTAAACAATAGAGACAAATAAATTATCAACAATTCGCAAAATATTACAAATTATTCATGAAATGAAAAACATAAACATAACTGTAAACAATCCTACTTTGACAGTTCTCATTGCGAATCACAGTTTTTTGTTGCTGCTTAGTTCAAATTAGCTGTTTTCATAAATGCAAAAAAAATATAGTGCTGCACCCTGTTGGTAAATCTTATAACTTTTTAATGCTTTTCCATATCATAGAACCAACTTTTTTAGTTGAAACAGCTGACTAAATTCTTTAATTCCTAAATATGAATACTCATAAGGTTAACATGGGAAATTACAGAGCCACTGGGGCGGAGCCCGAAAGGATTTTTGAGATAAGAATATGCCTATATGTTAATCGGGAATGTAAGCTATCATCATGCCAAATTTCAGCCCAATCCGTCCAGTGGTTTATGCGTGATTGAACTTCAAACAAACAAACAAACAAACAAACACACAAACTTTCACATTTATAATATTAGTAAGATAAGATAAGTAAACCACTGGCTTTTTGTATGAATAAAGCCTTGAAGATGGGCAATTTTCCCGAGTTTCTAAACATTTAAAAGGTGATACCAGTGTTCAAGAAAGGGAATAAACTTAGGTCTCAAAATTATAGGCCAATAACTATTGTCCCAAGCTTCTAAAAAAATTATTGAATCAGTAGGCCTATTTTATAAACTTTTAAATGGTTATTTTGAAAGTAATAATATATAAACAGATTCACTATTTAGATTCGGGGATGGAAAGTCAACTGCGTTTGCAGTTCTAAAAATCATTAGGCTAATAAAACAAAAAATGCTTTTGAGGACAAATACATTTTTTCTCTAACATTGTTTGACCTAATAAAAGCTTTAGATTGTATTTCTCACAAAATTTTGCTCAGTAAACTCAAATTTCATGGGATTAAGGATCCATAGCTAGGTTTCGTGCAGTCGTACTTAAGTAATAGAAGGCAGTATGTTTCAGTTGGTGGGATGCTATCTGGTTTAATAGAGGTGGTCTCGGGTTTTCCAGTGGGTTCGGTCCTTGGACCATTTCTATTTCTAATACTAGGCCTATGTATTAACAATTTACCTGGAAATGTTGGGATTTACTCTGTAATATATGTAGACGATACTACCCTAACGCCACACATAAAGACATTCACATTCTAAATACAACCACCAATGATGTCATAAACCTAACTTCTGTTTGGTTTTCAACGAACAAGGTTAAATGTAATCAGTATAAATAAAACATAAAATATTTTATTTGGCCTCTAAATTGCTGGCATCATTCGCCTATTGGGTGATGATGGTTGGGAGTGTCCAATCAAAATCGATCACCATTACCATTGTTTGTATATATTCACCATCTTGTTAAATCAGTATAATAAGTGTAAATATCGTATATGTTTCAAGTGTTATTAGACATATTTTTATTTACTCTCTCCGTAAATGAATTGTTCAACATGTTGTTATATACATATATAAATGTATTACATACACAAGCATATTTCTCTAACAATAGCTATTTTATCCATAGATTGGCTGTCATTGAAGCTTATACAGTTCTGTAAGGCGAAGTGTGATGCTTTATTGAAATGTGGACACCACTGTAGAGGAGAATGCGGGAATTGTAAAACCAAAGGAGCTCATCAAGTATGTGAAAAACCTTGCAAAGTGTTCGGGCCTTGTGGACATCGGTGAGTTTAACACTTATTATGATTAATAAAGTCAAATCATGTATACCATCCTACACAGTAACACTACAAACTTGGTGTGTAGGGTTCAACCGTGTCACAGAATAAACTTATGCTTCGGTATTCGATTTTGGTTTTGAGATTCGAAATTCCTGGTTTTGACCACCTCAAGATGGATTCAATGTATCCATAGTAAACTGTGATACATGTATCCTGGGGTCAATAAACTTGGGTTGATAAGGTTCTGTTGTATATAAAACTAACTCATTTAAATTTCAATAAACAAATAAATTGTGTTATTCAATTTTGATTAAACACTTCCTCACAACCCTGTAGATTTAAAATATTTTGTAAATTCGTTTGTTAATAATGTACGTTTTATTATGTCTATAAAACAGGTGTACAAAAAAATGTCATGAGGAATGTGGAGTGTGCAATAAGAAATGTTTGAAGAAGTGTTCACACCAGAAATGTGATCACGTTTGTGGAGAAACTTGCAATATTTGCCAGGTAATAGTTTGTATAATACTAGGGCAAACATAACTGGAAATCTTACTAACCATATGATTGATTAACAAAGCATAAAGACAAAGTTAAAATCAACCAACAAATGTTGTACCTTTGACTATTAATAAAACAACAGTCAATGGTTGTACGGTTCAACCAAATAGAGCACATAAAGAGTTGTTCAACCAAAAGTCGAGATTCAAATATATGAAGCACAATATAAGGTGAAGTTGAACACAAACTTGTAAATCTAGGTAGTCTCTGTCCATTGGGAACATTATTTTATTTTTTTGATAGAATTTGGCAATTTTTATTAACCATAATTTATGAGCCCAATACATGATTTTAATGCCTCCTAGATGATTCAGGGGATTTTTTATGCCTGTGAAAGGTATCTAGATCATTTTGGACACATTTGAAAGTCCAATAGTACATACCTGAAGCCTCTTTGAGTCCAACAGATGATTTTTGATGGCTCCATGTAAACTTGCTTATAAAAGTGTTACAAAAGAGTCACTTCTGGTTACAGGAACCATGCGACCGCGGTTGTATACATCAGAAGTGCAGCCGTCCATGTTTTGCTGTATGTAACCGAAAGCCTTGTGCCTTCCCCTGCCCCTCTCCCCTGGCCTGTGGACATCCGTGTCAAGGGTTTTGTGGGGATCCGTGTCCGGAAATATGCCTGCTATGTGAACCTCAGCTTGCTTCTGACATAAAACCCGATCACAGGTACTTTTATTCGTACTTAAATACTAAAATGGTATTTGATGTCAAATAAGTGTTTTGGTATATTTTGGTGTCTAATATCAAATAATTTTATATTACATACAAAAAAATTGAAGATGTACAACCCTTAGGTCTACAATCAGCCTCAAGTTTTCCAGTTCTCACTTTGTGCTTATCGAGATTACAACATTTACAAATCTAAGATTTGTCTAAGCTAAAGTTAGTTGATCCTTTGTATTTACAATTTACAATGACTAGAGCTTTCTATCAGAGTAGCTCCTAATGTCTAAGAACGTCAGGCGAATCCCTCAAAGTTGAGGCATGTATAGTTTTTGCATACGGCTCAGAAGAAAAAAGTGCTCTCAATTTACTTAGAGATAGATTATTTTTGGGGATACACTTATGAGGTTGCTAAAAATTATGAGTTTGAAATTTGGGTTCACTCGATTGTTTTCTACATTTCAGGATTATAGTTTTGGATTGTGGTCACAGTGTTGATGCTGCAACGATGGATGCCAATATTCATATGAATAAGGGTCGTATTACAAGATGTCCAATAGTTTCTTGCCAAACACCAGTAATAACCACAAAACGGTACCACAAAGAAGTAACGGAAGCATTTTTCAACATTATGAAACTTAAAAGGGAAATAACCTTGAAAACAATTCGTAAACCATCGATGAAAACGTGTGAAGAAACAAGACAAGAAGATTCACATCGCCACACAAATAAACCAATAGGAAGGTTGTAACGAGTTATTTTTCCTAGGGGGTAAATATTTGCTATTTGACCGCGCACCTATTGCTGGCATCAGCAAGCGGCGGCGGCGAAGCTAACGAGCGCCCTTTGACCCGGCTTATCAGTGCCGATAAGCCTGGGATATCCTAGTTTCTCAGGACAGTCTAGGACAGAGACATTCGAGTCGTGGATCCCAGTGAGTGAGGATAGCGTGTGTCTAGTGAGACGTCCAGTGGTGTACGTAGAGAGGAGTGCTGTGGTGACATCGGTGTCGTGTGAGGTTGGTGCTCAAGGAGTGAGTGTCGGCATTCAAGTTGGGTAGTGAAACAGTGACCCACTTGGGGTGAGTGGACGACGTTTTATTATATTTTGGTTTAAGAGAGTTAGAGAGTTAGAGTGGTAACCGTGCTGGTCAAAGCCTGACGGTAGTTAGGATTTATTTACAGGTGTCAGGAATAAAAAGTGTATTCCTGACGGTTCTGGGCAGGTGCTAGAGCGCAAATAATATAATTTATTGACTGTAGTAGATATTATTTTGCGTTGTACCTAGAGTTAGTTATATTACTAATAACTCTGAGGCCCGACAAACCTAGGCTGCACGATTTAGCGTGCGTAGTTGGAAGCACGAGGCCAGTAGGCTAGTAGCTAGTTTTATTAGCCTATTAACAGAAGCCCAGCTAAGTAACACAAAGTTGGTAGTAGCAGTAGCAGTAGTAGGGTTGTTATTGTTTACTCATTTGATTATTTTAATTTAACCTGAACAGCTTGTTTGGTAATCCAACACGTTATCTTGGTAGCTTGGATAGCGGAGTACCGGCTATCAGATAATATATATTTATCTAGTGTTTGGAACGTATTTAATATTTATTTATCTGTTACTAAGTAGCTCAATAATTTAATAGTAGTGCGATTGCCATTTAGCTTTGCTTGTTTGGCTTGGTATTTATTGAGACCAGCTACTAGTGGTGTAGTCACTCTACCTATAGTGCGCTTGTATTGTTATCTGGTATTATTATTGAGTAAACTGTTTGGTTGTTAGCTTGGGCAATAGAGTTGTGTATTGGATTATAGTGGCCTAGTAGACCCCGCCTGGTGATAACACGCGTTGTGGTTTTTATTGGCAAGTCGTCGTGTAACTCACCGTGTTTTAGGCACTCTGGGCTTAACTATTGGATAGTTAGAACGAAGCCCGAGTTGCGTAGTCAGCAACGACCCCCTAGGAGAGTGGAGAATCGGCGTAGGCCTGGTAGTGATTATTGCACGTTTGTTTTGGTGACTTGTTTTTGACTTGTTCACAGTGCCCGTGTATGAGCCAGTCCTACACCGGTTAGACCCGGCTATTGGCCTAGTGGTTTCCCTGACCTTATCGCAGACCCTGGAACTTTACCCAGCCATTGTAGGCTGAGCTATCCTTGGCAAACGGTTGCGACTGCACGCACTTTTAATATTATTTTTCCAGTGCAGAAAATCTCGTCGCAAGATGGCGCCTGCGAACAGGGACTGAGGTTGGCAGTGGTGCTGAGTTGCTGACGTATTAACGGCGCCCGAACAAAATAATTTTATTTGTGCAGATTTGCTGCGGACTTGTGCAGATTTGCTGCGGACTTGTGCAGATTTGCTGCGGACTTGTGCAGATTGGCTGCGGACCTGAGCTGTTGAGCAGTTTTAGGCAGACCTGCTGTGATTTTATAGTTGGTTGGGTAGGCCTAACCTGTTTTCTGTTACAGCGTGGTGTGTTGTGAACCCTAATTTATTTAGTGGTTGTATACATAGATATTAGTTGGTAAATATTATTTTGCTAATTAATTGAGCTTTAGTGTTGAATATTATTTGAGTGAGAACCCTTATTGTGTAATTGTGGTTTGACTTTCACACCTATAATTGGTTTGATTTATTATTTTGCTAATTAATTGAGCTTTATTATTGAATATTATTTGAGTGAGAACCCTTATTGTGTATTTGTGGTTTGACTTTCACACCTATAATTGGTTTGATTTATTATAACGGTGTTAAATATATTTTAATTGGTTTCGCTCTTATTTTTGCGGATTAGTCGTGGTATTTGGATTTTAAATATGGTTGTCACTACGAGTACGACGTCTGTGCTGGGCGGTACGCCTATTACGTCTGCTATTGTTACAACTAGTTCTGGGGTTAGCTCCGAACTGTCGGTGATGACGACGTCGTCATTGTGGCCTGCGTCTTCGCCTGTTTGGCCGACTATTTCATCTTTCGTGGGTACGACGGTGACAACGTCTCTGACTTATTCCGCGCCAGCGACTATGTCCTTGGGGTCGCAGCCCCGGGACGGTCGCGTGGGTTGGATATATGACCTCTCGAAAGGGGAGCTCATAAGGACGATGGACCAGTATGGTTTGGTGACCACTGGTACTTCTGCGGAATTACGGCAGAGATTCTCGTCGTTTTGGAAGCAGCGGAATGCCCGCCGGTACAGCGATGATAGGCTGTGTACGATGGCTGGGGCTGCTGCACCGACATATTTACCGCCCGCTACTACAACTGTGGAGCTTCCTGACCCCCAGAGAACCGTACCTCAGGTACTGGGTAATACGGAATCTAACCAACTTAGCAGGGAGTTAGAGGCGGTCAGAGAGATTCTTGGGTTGTCTTTGGAGACTGATACCCGGACTCTTCGAGAACAACTTGTATTGGTGGTGCGACAGGCGAGGGGCTCGCCGAGTAATGAGGTCGGCTATGGGTTCGGAAGACCCGCCAACCCTACGTCCCCTGTTGTGGCTGCTCCAATGCCTACCTTTGGGTTACCTAGTAGACCCGAGGGATGGCAGCGGCCCAATGATAGTTCTGAGAGACCAGCCCGGCCTTCTAGCTTGGAGCTGCCTCGAGGCTCGGATATGCTCTCAAATGAGGCCAGCAGGGTGGAGCCAAAGGATTGCTCCAAAATATGTAACACGGTACGGAAGTGGGGTTTGAGGTTTGATGGCCGACGAGACCCTGTGTCGTTCCTGGAGCGCCTCGAAGAGCTGATGGTCTCGTACTCTATAAAATCAGAGGACCTGCTCAGAGCGCTGCCGGAGCTGTTGCAAGGCTCAGCGCTTCTATGGTACAGGAATTGCAAGGAGCTCCTGTATTCATTCGAAGCTTTTCGGCATCAATTTGAAATCCAGTTCTTCCCACCAGGATATTGGAGGAACTTGGATGAGGAGATCCGAAAAAGGACACAGGGTGAAGGCGAGCACTTCCGGGACTACGTTGTTGCCATAAGTACCTTGCTTAGGCGTAGCGGTACGTTGTCGGAGCATGGTAGGTTAGACTTAATCTACAGCAACATGCGTCCGGAATACAAACTTATGGTACGCCGGCGTGACTTCAGGAACCTGGCCGAGATGGTTGAGTTGGCCGAAGATTATGAGGCTTATATGCGCGAGAAGGCAGCCTTCCGACCTCCTCCTTCTCCGAACGTAGCGCTGGTTTTGGAAACCGCCTACACGCCCAAAAAGAAGGTGGAGAAGCGCTCCGAAACTGCCGCAGTCGAGAAGCGGAGTTTCGAGAGACCATCTCCGGAAGCCGAGTCGCGTGGACGGGTAGCTTTAAAGTCGGATCGGGTCCACGGTCAACGGCCCGTGACAGCAGCTAGAGCGCCTGAGGGTCCACAGGGGACGGTGAAATGTTTTAGGTGCCAGGAGATTGGTCACTTTGCCCGAGAATGTGGTAAACCAAGGACCGTCTCCTGTTATGGGTGTGGCAAACCTGGTTTGACGGTGAGTCAGTGTGGATGTCGGGCGGGAAACGGCAGGCCAGCCCAGACATCAGGAGGTCAACTGGGCAAGGCCACCCAAAACGAACGACCTCAGAAGAGTGGTCCGAGTGGCTCGGAAAACTAAGCAGCCTGGTTGGTGGGGTAGACGAGAACCGGCTGGGTTCGGAGACAAGGCCCTTTGTTGAAGTTGTGCTGATGGGCAGCGTTTTTAAGGCGTTATTGGACACTGGGTCCGTAGTTAACCTGGTTGGGCGAGGAGTCGCCGAACATCTTCGACGCCAGGGGATTGAGCCTTGTAAGATTACCGCTCCTCTAAGGATGGCAGATGGGACACAGTCAACGGCCGAGTATTCGTTTCGGCTAGCAGGAGAAGCTGCGGGAAGACGGTGGATAGGAGATGCCTTGTATGTCCCCACTCTCACCACGGACATGATTCTGGGTATGGATGTCATCCGAGACCTCGGATTGGTGACATGTGGGACAGAGGTAGTAAGAATGGGCGTGGGTGATGACTGTTCTGGCCAAGGTGGCCACATAGACAGTGTCAAAATTGGTGACGAAGACCCCGAAGGCCCTTGCAATGGAAATCCCCGTCTGGTTCCTGATGCCAAATCTTTCAGTACCATGTTGGCTGGTAGTGGCTAGTAGAAGAGTTTTTCTTTGTTTTGAGTTTGAGACCTGTGGTGTAGGGTTCACCATTGGGTTAGAGGTTGGAGTATTTTGTTTTGGCCGGAGTTCAAAGATTTTTTTTTCTTTTTGGCCATTTTCTTTTTTTTCATCCCGATGTAAGTGGGGGATGTAACGAGTTATTTTTCCTAGGGGGTAAATATTTGCTATTTGACCGCGCACCTATTGCTGGCATCAGCAAGCGGCGGCGGCGAAGCTAACGAGCGCCCTTTGACCCGGCTTATCAGTGCCGATAAGCCTGGGATATCCTAGTTTCTCAGGACAGTCTAGGACAGAGACATTCGAGTCGTGGATCCCAGTGAGTGAGGATAGCGTGTGTCTAGTGAGACGTCCAGTGGTGTACGTAGAGAGGAGTGCTGTGGTGACATCGGTGTCGTGTGAGGTTGGTGCTCAAGGAGTGAGTGTCGGCATTCAAGTTGGGTAGTGAAACAGTGACCCACTTGGGGTGAGTGGACGACGTTTTATTATATTTTGGTTTAAGAGAGTTAGAGAGTTAGAGTGGTAACCGTGCTGGTCAAAGCCTGACGGTAGTTAGGATTTATTTACAGGTGTCAGGAATAAAAAGTATATTCCTGACGGTTCTGGGCAGGTGCTAGAGCGCAAATAATATAATTTAATTGACTGTAGTAGATATTATTTTGCGTTGTACCTAGAGTTAGTTATATTACTAATAACTCTGAGGCCCGACAAACCTAGGCTGCACGATTTAGCGTGCGTAGTTGGAAGCACGAGGCCAGCAGGCTAGTAGCTAGTTTTATTAGCCTATTAACAGAAGCCCAGCTAAGTAACATAAAGTTGGTAGTAGCAGTAGCAGTAGTAGGGTTGTTATTGGTTATTCATTTGATTATTTTAATTTAACCTGAACAGCTTGCTTAGTAATCCAACACGTTAGCTTGGTAGCTTGGATAGCGGAGTACCGGCTATCAGATAATATATTTATCTAGTGTTTGGAACGCATTTAATATTTATTTATCTGCTACTAAGTAGCTCAATATTTTAATAGTGCAATCGCCATTTAGTTTTGCTTGTTTGGCTTGGTATTTATTGAGACCAGCCACTAGTGGTGTAGTCACTCTACCTATAGTGTACTTGTATATTATTATGTGGTACGATTATTGAGTGGACTGTTCGATTCTTAGCTTGGGCATTAGAGTTGTGTATTGGATTATAGTGGCCTAGTAGACCCCGCCTGGTGATAGCACGCGTTGTGGTTTTTATTGGCAAGTCGTCGTGTAACTCACCGTGTTTTAGGCACTCTGGGCTTAACTATTGGATAGTTAGGACGAAGCCCGAGTTGCGTAGTCAGCAACGACCCCCTAGGAGTGTGGAGAATCGGCGTAGGCCTGGTAGTGATTATTGCACGTTTGTTTGGTGACTTGTTTTTGACTTGTTCACAGTGCCCGTGTATGAGCCAGTCCTATACCGGTTAGACCCGGCTATTGGCCTAGTGGTTTCCCTGACCTTATCGCAGACCCTGGAACTTTACCCAGCCATTGTAGGCTGAGCTATCCCCGGCAAACGGTTGCGACTGCACTGCACTTTTAATATTTATATTTTCCAGTGCAGAAAATTTCGTCGCAAGGTCAAATCAAAATGAATGCACTTCAAGAAATCTCTACAATGATTCTACACATTCAAGAAGAGAGCCTAATAGGCCAAATCAAAATGCGTCAAGAAATCCATATAACAAGTCTACAAATTCAAGAGGAGGGCCTTATAGGCCAAATCAAAATGCATCAAGAAACCCATATAACAACTCTACAAATTCAAGAGAAGGGCCATATAGGCCAAATCAAAATATATCCACTTCAAGAAACCCATACAATAATCCAGCAAGTTCAAGGGGAAGGCCATACCAGCAAATTCAAAATGGAGCCTTTTCAAGGAATCCATTTAATTCCCCCACAAATCCGAGGGGAAGGCCTTGGCAGCCTGGACAATATAGAGATCATCCAAGAAATCCGTACAATAATCCAGAAAGTTCAAGAGAAAGGCCACCTCAGCAAATTCAAAATGGAGCCACTTCAAGATATCCATTTAATTCTCCCACAAATCCGAGGGGAAGGCCTCGGCAGCCTGGACAATATAGAGATCATCCAAGAAATCCGTACAATAATCCAGAAAATTCAAGAGAAAGGCCATATCAGCAAATTCAAAATGGAGCCACTTCAAGAAATCTGTTTAATTCTCCCACTTCGAGGGGAAGGCCTCGGCAGCCTGGACAATATAGAGATCCCTCTATAAATTCATATAATAATCCAAGACAAGGAAGATACACTTACATGGTCCCTACTGAGGCAGGTCAAAATGGAGCTTCTGCAAGAAATTCAAACACTTCAACTGAAAAACCACAGACATTGAATAAGACTGAAACTAAAACCAGGTTGACAAAGTTTCAAAGACCCAAAGATCAAATCACAGACACCACCCGAAGTGCGGAGGAGTAAATTCATTTACAGCAGCCAACACAATTTTAAACAAATGGGTTTGGGAGATTTGTTTTGAAAGTTGTTTTAAAAGTAAGAAAATTGTTTTCAATTGCTGTTATACATTTTTTGGGTACAACATAAAATCGCCTGGATCAATTTAGATGTTCATGTGAGCAGAGCAAGATATACCATTCCTTTTAATCGACCTTCCTTGATTGAGATTATGCATATGTTGTGGACACGTTGTTTACTCAGTCCAAAAACTATTTAAGTCAACTTTATATAAAGTCAATTTATTATTTGTGTTACTGAGGTAGTGATTTTAATATTATCACCTGTTTGTGAGCAAAGGTAGAATGTTAGTTTTTTCCAATAAACAACATTAACACACAAGTCTTTTTGATTCCTACTTGTTACTAAAAGAACTTTTTCCTACAGTTACCTAACAATGTACATGTTCTCTCACTGATTTGAGAAAGCAAAGTGGCCAATTTGCTCATCAGTGAGACGATGTTAACATTGTCTCACTCTAATTACTTTGTCTCACTCCAGATTTGCAACATGAAGGCACGAAATAGTGAGCGCGTAACATGCAGGCAAGGTCGTATGCGCGCGAAATACGTTGGCAGCACTGGCTGTAAATCAGCTGGTCAGCTGTTGTACTGTTGTATCAATAAATGTCATATTAAAAGTTCACTTCTGTATCAAAATATGTTACGTTTCTTTACCAATTTATTTGTTTTATGGTAACCGTAGGAAAAATATAATGTGCAACTCGAGTGCAAAGTGCAATTGCTCACTAGTTGCACAAATAAATTTTTCTTTGTTTGCAGAACATTATGACTACTTTAGTAAAACTATCAACAGGGCTTGAAACATCAATGAGGTGGAAGGGTATCTAAAGGATATTGGGATGCTTGTAGGCAACTGTAATCATGGTAGAAACTAAAACACTTTTTCATCACATTGCAACAAAAACAGCTGTTTTTTAATACACATGTTGAGGGTCTAATGTAGCTCTTTTACTCTCTAGGGAGTAAAAAACCTTTTTGTTTTTAGTCCCTAGGGTGTAAACTCAATTATTGTAAACTTGAATTGTAAAGCAATTGCAGGTATCAAAATTTTGTATTGATTGATTTCATTGGCTGTAGCTTTCTTGTCAATAGTTAAACATATCGATAGTACAAATGTACATGAGCACATTCGTAATACTGTAGAAGAACAAAATTATTGAATCACTTGCTAAACAGCTGCTTATTTGCATTAGCAAAATTGAAAACCAGTTGGAAGTTGGTTTGAGAGTTTATGTTTGTAAAGTATGTTTTTTTTCTAGTTTAGTTTGTTAAAAAATATAGTTCACCACACGGGCAAAAAGTCTTTTCTACAGTTCTCTGACAAAGCTGCACTCGAGAAACTTTCCACTTTCATGTGAAAGGTGTGATTGGTCATTGATGAAAATCTATCTTGGGATAATCACATAAACTATGTAGTAAATAAATTATCATCTGGCGTTCATGCCTTGCGGCTGATGTCCAAGGTTTGCAGCTTGGAAACTCTTATGATAATCTATTATTCTTTATTTCATTCCCACATATCTTATGGAATCGCCATTTACGGAGCAACAACTAAGGAAAATTTGGATAGAATACTTATAAAACAGGAAAAAGCTATTAGAGTGATCATGAAATTAAAAAGAACAGATTCAGTTAAAAATATCTTTCCTGAATTGGGTGTGTTAACAGTTTACAGTTTGTATATTTATGAGACAATTGTTTTTGCAAAACAATTTCATTTATTATCCTCTGCAAGTTAATATAACACACGCTTTCAAATTAACCTTCCTAGACATAATTTAGAATTCTACACCAAAAAACCTTCATATACAAGATTAAAATTTCTTCAAAAATTACCCATTTGACTTAAAAAAGAAAATAATACAAACAGATTCAAAAGCCAACTAAAAGACTTATTGATAAGAAATCCATTTTATTCTATCAAAGAATTTTTAAATAGTAATTTTGAAACGTTCATTTGAATTCCAGATACTAACTAGTTTTACTCTGACGTAATCGATTTTATAATTTGTTTAAGTAATAACACTCATTTTTAGTTTTACTTTATAGATCCTTTGTAATGAATTACTTTAATTATTTAGTTTATAATTTTTTCTTTATGTTAGTTTAATGACGCTATTTAAGACATATTGTCTAAACTTGAATAAAGAATATTTGATTGATTGATTGATTGATGTGCAACAAAGTGCCACTTTGCGCACTAGTTACACAAATAACTATTTCAAACTTCGCTCATTTTCTGACCTCGACTTGGCCTCGTAGTCTAATATTAGTATAGTACTAAAATATTAATAAGCGTAATAATAGATAGGAAGGATATTTACTGTCTAACTTAAATCTAAAATTTGTAGGCTAGGAAAAACCCAACAATCAAACATTGGCCATTTGAGAAAAATTTAGTTTTATTGTTTTTGAATAGTTAAAAACATTTTTGCCCCAATGTAATTGGACTAGTTAAAGTGTTTCATCAAATTCAGATGGAAATTTTGAATCCTCTGAAGAGCATCTGTCAACACTTCTTGGGGAAGTAGAATGGATATCCTGAAATTTATCATAACTTTATAAACCCTCTTTCTTCTCATTAAATGAGTCATACATTTTGAATCCATCTTGATTGAACCTTGTTAAAATTGAGAATTTCAATATAAATTTAAAAAATATTCAAAAGTCATTTGGGACGCCCAGCAGCCCAGAGCCCTTAACCCTCTGAGCGTCACACGTCGAAAAATCGACTCACGACACACTTTGTGTAGTGTCACGCGTCGATTTTTCGACACACGAACATCGTTTCAGCGAAGGCTCTATGACTAACTGAATCGGATTGAACTGGATCGAGTTAGGTATCGTTCTTTTCGTTAGATTCTAAGCTTTCTCCAGAGGTCTGTCTCTAAGCGCTTTATGTTCTCTGAGCCGATCGTAATTGTAGCAGACAGCTGACGTTCGTGTTTTAGACAACTTGGTTATTTCACATCGGTGTTTTTGTACGTTTATCGTCGTTTTTAGTGGTAAAAATGGACAGTAGTGATATATGTAATGCACTAGAAGATGATATTAGTGATGTTGAAGGACTTATTGACGATCCGGATGAAGTTGGTAGTGACATTGATGTTAATTATCAGCCAGATTCCTAGCTATGGTTAGGCTATGCATTCTTAGCTAAACGCTATGTACTGAAATCTGTTTTTTGCCCATAACTTATTTATTTGCAAATCTACTTCCTTATATTATTATATATTTGTAATCCTCATAAAATTTAGAACAAAGTGGCTATTTTCAAATATTTATAGGCCTATAATTTATACAATTTCATTGAGCGCGAACTTTTTTTTTTTTTTAATTTTTCCAAAATAATTTTTTGTTTACCAAAAAAATTTTTTTGAAACAAATATTCCTTATTTTTTATGTATGATATTGAAGCCCATGATTTTCCAAACAAAATGGTATATAGAACAGTAGAATTAACATTGCTTTAAGCTTCTCAGATCCGTTTTAACAAAACCTTGCAAATGCGCCAAAAATAGGTGGACATTAAGGCCTAAACTATGGACACTCGCAGGGTTAAAGTTGAAATATTTAACAGACATAATTTTGAAAGTAATTCCTGAAGGAATGCTGGAACGAGTATTCGATGGGACATTCAAGCGACTAAGACCGCCTTCTCACTAGGTCCGCCACTCCTCAGCCACTAGATCCGTAAAATTGCATTGAGTCTTATGGCACCCTTTGCACAATAGGGTCGTAGAGACCAGGTCACTAAAAAACTGCTTGACTGGTCACTGGTCAGTGGCTGCCACTGTACTTTTTCAGCAAATCAACTCGTAGCGGACCATTCTAATATACCTGGCACTTCACATAAGGTGGCTGCGTCTTTGATGCTGCACACCAACCTGTGATACTTTCTTGGTTTGCAGCTGTTTGTTTTGAGTTATAACGTTATTTATATTGATTTTTTTGGTTTACATTATTGCGTTGAATATGGATGAATAGGGCAATACATTTCTACAATAGTAAAAGTTTATCATTAGCAGGCTTTCTTAATCTGTTGGTAAAACCGAAGAAGAAAGGAAAAGTCTCCGATGAGGAAAAAAGCAAGAAATTCAATTCTATCTTGACGAATGAATCATACAACACGAGACTTAGTATTTTTAGTGAGAAGGTCTCAGCCACTGGGTGGCAGACATGTGTGAAAGCTAGGACAAGTTTGGCTGCGGCTTGTACAGGACAGTGGCTGCCGCACCCAGTAACTTCGACCTAGTGAGAAGGCAGCCTGAAAAGGAATATCAAGGAAGACAAGGATGTGACTTGAAGAACATTTCATTCAAGAGATATAAAAATTACTCCAATTTAACACTATTCGTGCGGTCGACATGTTTGAACATAAAAGTTGCATTTATTTCAATGTTAAGCAATTGCGGGAATTCCCGTCATCAGCACCCAACGTGTTAAAATGACACTAGATAAGCCGTCAAGCCGTGTTTTGATTTGCTATTTATATGTAGGGTAAATAAATACTAAATATTATTCAATTTGTACTATATATAAATTGGGGCATTTTAATTGCCTCGCTCTGTATTTAAATTATTCACAATGGTCATTACCTGAAGTGAAGAGAGCCTGGTTTCTGGCCAAACACTTCACCAGGGTTGGTTACCACTCCAACATGTTCCAACATCTCTTGACAGTACAATGCCGAAGGACACCGGCCTAAACTATTTGCCTTTTCTAAAAAGTAATCCGGAACATCTACCTGCAAACGTGATTTGGGTTTGAAATATTTACTCCTAAACAGTTATACATTGATATTCTAGCAAAATATCTAAAATATTATTAAAAATCACACAGATTTTTTATTTTGTTAATTGGAAATATCGCCAATTTTGACACAAGGAAAGGAAAAGTGTTGAATTCCACCCATTCATAGAGAAAGTAAAAACCACTAGTACATTAACGACTCTTTACGTTAATCTAACCCTAACCTTTTAATTTTAAGTAACAATCTCTTTTTAAGCACTTTTTCTAAAAAAAATACAGTACCGGTAAACACTCTTTAAAGAAATACTATATTGGCCCAAATTTGTTAATATTGCAAACCTGTAAACATATAAAATAATTTTCAAACATATATTATGTTTACAATAGTGAACAGACTATATTCTCTATAGTGATCGCAGTTGGCGACACTGGCTATGACAGTTTTGAACTTTAACTGACATTTCACAGCGAAGATGAAGGATGAAATATCAGTATTATTCAGTCATAAACAGCAGAATGATATTAGTGTGCATTTCTATAAACCCTCAGACTCTTTTCTAGGGAGCTTAACGCCTAACTCTACTCTTTAAAAAAATCATTGATTAAACTCACTGACACAGTGGATAGCTTAGTGGATATAATGTTCGCCTAGTAATCAAAAAGGTTGCTGCCGACCCTGAGAAAAGTCAGAATGTAATAGATCCAATAGTCAAAGGTAATAGTTTGAAAATGAACCCAGTTGTCCCTGATTTATGGCCTTTCAATAAATGATTCTGCCTAAACAGACAGCTGACCTTAGTCAGTAACAAATCTGTCACCTCATTGTTCACTCTTTTTCACCTTAAAATACATACAATGGTGTGTCAGCATCAAAACATCTCTTAACCTCCATTCTTTTAGATGAGAAATGACCAATGATTGACATTTTCTCGAATAAATGGCTTTAGGCCAGGATTTTTTACGATTTTGTGATGGATAAGATTAACAGCTGACAATGATAAAACCTCTTGCTGATAAATATATGAGAATGCACAAATAAACACATAGAATCGGCATCTTGTTGATGAACATATTCACCACAAAAATCCTAAAAACATAGAATAGAATAATTTACCTTGATAAAAGCAAAAAATCCTCCCTGCAAAGCGTTACAGGACAACCCTGGAGTAGAGTTGATCACATCACTCACGAGATTAGCTCTTGTCTTGAGAGATTCTAGAGCAGACCATCTCTCCTGGTGGAAGAGAGAGTAGGAAGGCTGGCCTGGCGTGGGTGGACACGCTACACAGTCCAGTGCTATCTGTGATCAGACAAACTGAAACAGTCCTGAAATTGGATATCAGTTATTAAACTGTCAGCAAAAGACTATTTGGAAGCTCTTTTGACTCAAAAATGCATTCTGCGTTATTTCCATTGTAATTTTCAAGTTTTCTGACTGAAAATTCCATAAAGTCTTGAAATACATTATATACAAATAGATAGCCAGAAAGCTCAAATTTGATGGTTTTCATTTTATTAACTACCATAACATACAAATGAATCTGTCTAATGATTTTTTAAGTTTGTTTTTACAAGTTATGGTTAATCTTATTCCTAACTTATAAGATACATAAAGTGTTTCATATTCTGTCCAAGTCCTAAAAAACCCCAGTGGATTAAGTAACCCTTTCGTCCAACCATGCCCACAACCATACATGCACAGCACCTGCCACCAAACTGTTGTTTGATGGCTCAAATACCAGAATAAATCTGTTACACCGCTAAATTTTATATTTGTTATTTCAGATTTTGTGAATTTTTAAATTGTGTATTTTATTTTGTGGAAATATAGTTCAGTTACAAATTTATTACAGCATCCTCGACTGTTTCTTAGAATTATTTAAGAAAAAATACAATATAAATTCTGGGTAGCTGAGGCGCTTACCTCCTAATTTGAAGGTTAGTTCCAAGGTAGAAGGACTTATTTGTTATTTGTCATTGGGTTATTAATTATTGATGTGTTCTAGCAAAAGGTAAACATTACAAACAATACTTGGGTCTGGATTGTCCCACCTTAGGCGTAAAAACACGAACACAGACAACACATGTTTCTAGGCTGATGTATGACAGAGTTTACCTGGGCACAGATGGGGGGTGAATCGGCTATCTGGATGCTGCTGCGTAGCAACTGTTTAATTGAGGAGTTGATATTGTACAGTTCCATGTATCCAGCTCTCATGCCTGTGTCCGCATAACCTAGGAAGTAGGAAACCAACTTGTCAAAGTATGCAGGGATGTAACTCATGCAAAAAATTACTCTAGTTCAATATTAGGTACAGAGTTTGAGTTTACCGATAAAATTGGTGGAAATACTTGAAATCAACTTTTAACTTTTATAGTTCTGATATAAAAAGCATTCTGTAAAAGTAAAATTAAACCAAACTTGAATACCAGGTGATCCAGCAGTTGTACTACCAATTACCAACCATACAGGTCGTAAAAAATAAAATAAAATATAACTAAATTAATTAAGATCCTAAATATATCGCAATCAAATGTGCAAGTATACTATAATATTGTGTAGTGTGAGATGACAATTGTTATACTAAGATCAGCTGGTTCTCTTTCTCAGGATCAAATTGGCAACCTTCTGTTTAAAAGGTCAGCAATATAACAGCAATATTCAGGTACCCAGCTAAATTGAATATTCTAATTTTATTACCACAATTTAAGGTTTACTATACGAAAGGAACCATGAGGTCCTAAAAAGTTACCCTCAAAAAATGAATTTTCATGTTATTCCATTTAATGATTTTAAAATTATTGAGTGTTGTAAAATTTTGTTTTTATTCTAAATACCTTTTGGACTTGACATGAGTGAAATCAACTCTGTACGGTTGTAGGGAGATCCCAGTTGATAAACAACTTTTTTAAAGGAATTAAAAGTTCCTCTATAAACATTGTCTTGATAAACCTAAAACAAACAAGAAACAACAGGTAAAAGTAAACAAGGGGAAAATACATTAATTGAGTTTTATTTTAGCCTAGCCTAGTTAATGAAAGTAGTTTACTGAGCGTATTATTTTCTTGTGAAGGTTTAAAACAGGGCCGTCCCTAGGGTTGGCGGCGCCCGGAGCAAGCGTGGTCGTGGCGCCCCCTCCCCACCAGTAGTAGTAGCGTACAAATAGCCATTGCGCGGCGCCCCCTCAGCCACGGCCCCCGGGGCAGCTTGCCCCCCCCTTGTCAGGCCCTGGTTTAAAACCCCTTGTATACACCATTAAATTTGTTATGCGAGTTATGAGTTCAAATCCTATCATCAATTAAACATTTACATCGTTTTTAAAAGTACCGGTACTGTAGTTTTTGCTAAAAAAATAAGCAGCAATTAAAAGTGACTAAATGTTTGATACTTAAAATACAAATATAACATATACTTTGTATATAATAAGAAAATGTATTTCAGCCAAGCGAGGATAGCTCAATTTCTGAAAGGCATAGAACTTGCAACTTATTTACACCTCAATGGTATACAGTTTTATAGACGCAAATCTTGGAAAGATCATATAAAGATTAACTACCTTAAGCTTAGTGAACATGTTTTAGAAACAAATTGAACCTCTTTCTTACCTCACAAGCTATTATCAATAGATCATTCCTGTTGGCGAATTTCACGATTTCTTCCATGTTCTGTGTTGTCAAGACTTGACCTAGTAAAACAATGTTTGTGAATATTACCTCAACGGTGAAAATTATGTCTTTAAAAATTAAAGTTAGAATATTCAGATGCAATTCATAACTTATAAACTTTTGTAATACATTTTTATTTTATCAAGGGTAAAAGTAGTGTTTCATTGGCTAATTTAGATGTCTTTAGTGATTGGACTTGGTATATCTTGTTATATACGAATTGTGGATATTTATAGGCATGCACTGTTAAAAACGCCTGAAGAAAGTGAATGAAATACCCACAATACATTAGTGCGTTGTTGTTGCGTTTCCTTTACGAAGGCATTCTTATTTAATTAATTCTTTACATGTAAATAAATATTGCTTTTATTGTTTTATAATTTTCTGTTTTGACATCTAAAATGATGAGTAGTTTTTTCAAGTTTAAGCAGTGTGAGACATGTTTTAACATAGCCAAAACAAGTCACTCCAAAATCATTCTAAAAATAACACAAGAATGAAAAATTCTTTCTTGATACTTAACTATTAAGACTAGACTGATGTTTTGGACTGATAAATTTTGTATTTTTCAAAGTTGAACTATATCCTAACTGATATTACCATGTATCCTATGTGTAAGAGTAATTTTTAATTTGGTAAGCCAAACTAATATTTTTTATACTGATGTTTTTTTTAATGATAAAAGATTTGAAATATTCTTGCCTATTATGTATTATTATTTTTGTATTTAACCAGTCATCTGTCATAGATCAGTAGGTATTTAACAATGTTACAAAATCAGGTCTAATGTCGAACGAACATGCATTTCCCGTTTTATGAGAAGGTAAAATCCGTTTCAAAATGTTGTGAGATTAAAAATCCTCCTTTGTCACGTCTCAAACTAAAAATCAATTCTCCTCCATCCCTATTAAATACACAACCTGTAGGATTTCCAGGGTTGATGACAAGTATAGCTCTCAAACAGCTGTTTGATGTTTCGGCCAACACATGTTGTAGCCCATCCACATCTACAGACCAGTTGTCCTCCTCATCCAAGTAGTAAGGCACCTTCACAGGAGTAAATATTTAATCATAAATTAATTTATATTCACACATTGCCATTTTTAAAGAACTGATTTCCTACAACAATAGTTACACAAGGCTTATAACAATTGTTATAAGTGTGTATTGTGTAAAGTTTTGTTCCTTGTGCAGGATTTTAATCTTTTCTATCCAGGTAAGCCTGCTATCCTTACAAAAATCCTTTAATCTATGTACAATAGCCCAATGTTATTTGTACGTTTGATACAATGCTTGACATATAGGGTGGTTTCTCAAGTAAGGGCTGTTTTTGCGTTTAAGCCCGTAGTTTGCTTGTAGTTCGCTTGTAGGCTCCTCCCCACTTACTGGTATTATTTGTGAACAGAATTACACCAATCCAAATCAGTAGCTGACATGTACACGCTTTGCTGAGGGTAGACTCTACACACTTTAGTGAAATTACAAAAAAAAAAAAAAAATAATATAATTATAAGGCCAGTGATATGTTTTTTTAATTACAAAAAAAATATTAGATGCCAAAACTCATCACCAGACAACTGAAGCCTATGGCTCTAATGCAATGAACAAGGAAAAAGTGCACATATGAGTTATGGAGAGTAAAAATGGCCGTGAAATCCTTTTTCCTTAATGGTCTTCTGTGAGAAGTTTGGGTACCCTCCAAAAGCATAATTTCTTCCGAGATGACACTTTCACAGCCATTTTAAAACTCTGTAGTCTGTTCCCCGCTATCATTTCATTAGGGTCATGTCAGCTACAGAGCAGTAAATGGTGCCATTCATTTGACAAATGATGCCAGGAAATGGCGAGGAGCCTCAGTGTACAAGCGAACTACAGATTTTTACTCAAAAATGGTCCTTATTTAAACACTACCCTCGTACATAAATTTAATGTAGCTAATAAAGAAATGTTTTGAATCAAAAGAAAAACAAATAACTAAATTTGCAGACAAAACAATGACAAAATCCTTTTAAAAAAAGTGAAAAAGTGATCATTTCATTTTCAAGAACATTGTTTCGTTTTAAAGATTTTAATGTCTTAGGCAAATCTTTAAAAACAAGAGTTATTTAGAACACATAAAATTACATATGTAAAAGAATCAAAGGTTGCACGATGTTATTATTTTAAACTCACCTTTTCGATTCCAAACTGTGAAAGAGCAGAGGAAAACAGAGGAAACTCAGGAACTGGAGTGAGAACTGCTAAAGTGTCTCTGTTGGCCGTGTAGTTCATCAGTTTGTAGAGAATCTGCACAGAAAATAATAGGGTTTAGTTGAAACGTAGTAGGAAAATACTGTACAAGCCATAAAGAATTTTGAACCCTTGCCATATCCTCCTTTTTACCTTAGAGATGCTGTTTCCAAATGCAGGAAAGCAATGCTGGGAGAACCAAGAACATATGATTCAACCACCAGACAAGGGTACTGAAAAAAGCAGACTGAGCTTAATGTTGTAAGGAAGGGAGATGAACCAAAAAACCATTATGGGAGAAAAATATAATTGGCAGAAGACCTCTTGAACTCCCAAAGAATTAGTGCGAAAATAAAGTATAAGTGATATGACATTTTCAAAACCTGATAAAGAAGACACATATGATTGAAGGTAGTTGAGAAAGTTGGTTAGTGAGGTCAAATACCTTCTTGACCAGGATGTTTAGCCAGGACTCATTTTTGATACCCAACATAAGGCTCCTGTAGTATGAATTTTTACGTCACCCAGGCTTTTACAGGACATGAGCCTTTTTGGATGTATCTAAAAAAAATGCAAAAGTTAGAAGATTGAAACTGTACTAACTACGGCAGGCCTATAGAAAATGTCAAGCATGCAATCAATAGGTGCAGAAAATTTACAACAGAGCGTTAGCGACTTAAAATAGAATTAGGCCAGAAGAGCATCAATGCTGAAAGTCTGGTTGGAGTCATTATGGAAAGAGAGGCTCATTAGAACCTGATAGGAAGCCAGGCCCACAACATCATGGAAGATAAAATGGAGGAACGGAAATGTAGAGACATAATCTATCTGACCATGAAGAAACAGCAAAAGGTCAGATGGTCAAATGGTCAGAGAAAACGCAAGAAGAAGAGGGGATGTTTCTGTGGGTCGCTAGAAGAAATGTGAAAAGACATCCCTGCACTCCCTTAGGGTGTGGACACCTTAAGGCAACTGCCAAAAGGTTTTTACTCCTCTAAAAAACCCTTTTTGAGACTAAATGACCATGGGTGTAGGGAGTACCAATAACAAACAATTTTTTTTATATTCTCTTTACAGTAGATGATTTAACCTTAATATACTGTATATTGAATTTTAATGATCTACTTTACTTAACACTGTATACAGTAAAACCTCTAGTAACCACTGTCACAAGGGTCCGAAATAATGACTATTAACGGAAAACCGAAACTCCTTGCACAATTACTATGATTTTGGAAAGAAATTACACAGTGAACATGTAAATTACACATAGTTTACGTACAGTACATGCTAGCCCAACATACAAACTTTATGTTATCAAAAACTGTGTTAGTTTTGTGTCGAGAACCTACTGTAAAAAAATAGAAATGAGTAGCAAAACGCACATTTTTAAGGTGATGAATAGTAAGACTGATGGTTACCTTAACAGTCAATCAAGGTCCCACTGTAGTTAATCGATATATTCTGTCTATTTAACTATAACAACGTCTTCTCTATACTATAAATCCTGAGCGTCAACAACAGTTCTAGTTTTAGATTATTTAGATCAATATAAAAAAACCTAACTTAAACATGTATGATTTGTTGGTTGAATCATGTTGAATCTAACCTTGACAGCTGCTGAGACTCCAGGCACTATGATGATATCCTCCCAGTTAGAAGGACAGCTGTCTCTGTGTCGGATGTAATCTGCAATGTGTCGTCGTACCATCTCCAGGCCTTCAATGTCCGTAAGTGAACCTGTCATTACAGACAAAATAAATAATCTCACTTTTTAAGCCTCTCGAAGATTATTCATTGATTCAACTATTAGTTTTATCACGCTTTTCTCCTCATGAACTAAATAATCTATATAAAACAAATTTTTTGTGAACAAACACACAGGATGAATTGAATCTGTCCTAAAATTCTAAGCTACTTGAAGATATTGAAGATGGGAATTTTTTTGTCTTTTTAAACAATATTTAACTTCAACTATACAAACCAATAGGGACCATACCATATTCAGCGGGTTACAAATTTAGATTTTTACCGAAATTCTGGGTATTTTATAGAAATTACTTCTTAGAGTACATGAATTACATAGAAGAGGTCTACCTGTGGATTTTTGAGTTGAAACGAGCCCAGCCTAACAGTTTGAGGGATTGAGCATTAAGCAAAAACATGGAGCTCAAACCGACTTCATGGTAAAATTCTTCAACAAACATTTAGCAATTGAAAAATTCACACTTTTGCTGTGATTGCGAAGGACGAGGTTATCGTTTTTGTGACAGTGGGAGACGCGATAATGTACATCTGCAGGAGATATTCAGGATTTTGCTGTAACCACAGCAAACAATGATGGTGTTTCCCCGACCAAGCTAGACGATGATGTCTAAACGATAGCAAGAGATGTTCAAGAGTTTGCTACGATCACAGCTTCTGCCTTCTTTAATAATTGTTCTTAGTTATTTGGGCATCTTATTTCTGTAATTTTAGGTTTTTAGCGAATTTCCCCTATAGGGAATAAGCTATTACCGTAGTACTCATGGTAAGACCTGGACCCGGGACCGATTTACTTTTTCGTTTTGAGGTCCCTAGAGACCAAAAACACCATCCGTTCAAATTCATTTATATATATATATTTATATATATATATATATATATATATATATATATATTTATATATATAAATATATTTATATATATATATATTTATATATATTTATATATATATTTATATATATATATATATATATATATATATATTTATATATGTGTCCGTTAGCGCGATAACTCGAGCAAAAATCATCCGATTTTGATGAAATTTGGTACAAACGTGTAAACCTACGTTTATTCGAACGAGTTCGCAAACCAGCATGTTCGGACTATGGGAACAGGGGTTTATGGGGGGTTTTATGGGGCAAAATTTGGTTTTTCCCATTTTTTTACCCTAAAAACTTAAAATTTAGCATTTTCTCTTTAAACCATTTTGTAGAGCTTAAAAAAACAAATAATTTAGTATATTGAAGCGTTATTATGCGCCTAATGGTTTTGGAGAAAATTCCAAAAAAACTGTAAATTTAAAATTCCAATGTTATTCTAATGGAGAATAAGTAAACTGTTGTAGTTTGCTTGTTAATGATCATATTTTGATCAAATTTGGGAAATGCATTAATTTCATACTAAACTATTAACATTTTACAAAAAAAAAACACCTTTTTACCCTCCCTTTTGCAGCAAACCTAAGTACTCTTTAAACTAATGTTATTTAAATAGGGAATAAATGTGATATTTTTAAGGAGACATTTTAGTGTAAATCCAATCAGGCAAATGGAAATTCGCTTAGTCTGCAGGTTTGCTGCGGCGGGGGTATTAAAATACTTCCTGTAAGTTCCTGATAGTTGGAACTCTGATGATTGGAGTACTGAACCATAATGGATGTTTACAACTCACCGATACTGTTGCCTCGGCATTGTTGCAGTAGACTTCTGGCCCTGTGTTTGACATCTTCTGGGAATGCAGAGTCCAGAAGTAAATCCGGGAGGCAAGCTAAAGCTGTCACCTATACACAATACTAGTGTAAGTTATCGTATGTTTTTTTTTAATAAAGATCTCAAATAAAGAGACAGTTCTCCAAAGACATATTTTTTTATTGTTAGGTAGCCTTACGAACAGAGAAGGGCTCCAAACTGGAGGTTTCGACAATAAAAGGGCTAAAATCAATTGGTGATTGGACGTATTTGAACCCAGGTGTACAGAAGTCTCACCTTCTAACTAATAGAACTCCCTTTCCCCCAAGCACACACAACGTTAATAGCGAGTTGTTGGACTAACGAGAATTCTGGCTTACCACGAATTGACGGATATACCTATGATGAGGGTAAATATGAAAAAATACAATTTTATGAATATAAGAATATTATAGTTAACTTACATACACTACACCAAATGGACTTTATAAAAAAATCTAAATCATACAGGATTAAAAATAAACGCTACACAATAAAATGTAAAAACCTGAGAAGAGGTTTTTGCTAGTGTACTGAACAGTAAAAATGTTCCAGTATAGCAAAAGGTCAAATTTCTGTGTTACATCATCTTCACAAGCTTGTCTTATTACCAAACGTGTCAGATTAACAAGATCGGATTGTAATATAGTTCTAAGTATTTTGTTCACTTTACCTGTCTGATGAAAGTAATTTGTTTGCCTCCCTCAACAGAAGAATCTCCAACATTTGCTTCAATTATGTCTCTGAATGGTTTTACCACTCCCTAGAAATAAAATATAGAAAAAATAGTTATTTTTTTTATTTATTTGGCTATTGACAATACATTGTCTTACAATACATTGTACATATCCCTAGGTCTAGCCTGAAGTACTGTAATGTGAAAAACAATCCCAGGCTCGTGCCTAGCGTCCTATGACAATAAAAAAAATAATAATATAATAATAATAATAAAAAATGACAATACATTGTATAAATAGTGTGACAAAAATTACTTGAGTTATGGTTTTTGTTTACGGATAAATACATATCGATTTTTTAAATGGTATTTTTGGCTTCTGTGGACATAAAAACAAAAAAGAAAATCGGTCTCACCCTAGGTCTTACCAATGGTAATAACTCGCTCCCTATGTGGGAAATTTGTTAAAAAATATTCTGTATGGTATAAGAAACTTGATATTTAATTTCTTACAATTATGCGTTTAAGAGTAGGCCTAATTAAATCACACGACTGTTATATTTAGTTACTTACTCAAGAACACAGCCTAAAAGATGATCACTTTAACACGTTGTTCTAGACAACTCTATCAGTTTATTTTTTGTAAAAAATTTATGATCTCTTTAACCATAATTAACTCTATTTTTCCCCAGAATCAAACATAAATTATTCACAAATCGGTTCACTGACCTGTGCCAATTCCCTCCTAATCTTCTCCACCCTCTCATGAAGCTCTTCATGTACTCCAAGAGAAATGTTTGTTTTGTCAGAGTACTCCCTTCCACCGTTTATTTTCAACAAGGCAGGCATGCTTTCTGTAGAACAAAACTCTGACGCTGCAATGTAAACATTGATGGCAACAAACAGTAGTAGCATCAAGCTATCTCTGCTCATGAATGGGTTGACCTCTGACCTCTGACTCCTTATCACTATGTGAGTGATAATGAAGGTGCTTTGTTTAGCTCCTACTGTTTATATGACAAGTGTTGATTGTATCGGGATTATTTGGACAAAAGTCTTAAAGAATTGAGGTGTTTAGATTTAAAAGCACATTTCAAATTGTAATGGACTGGTAGATGCTGTGGATTAGGTTTTATATTTAAACTTTGTATTGTTATTAAAAAATATAGTATTACATGGAAATGTTGACCTTAAATAGTGATTCATTTATAAAAACAGCTAGCGAGTTTCCTGTTGCTTAAAGTCTATTTTATAGTCATAGTCTTATATTATCTTTTACACTTATGGGTTTTAGAAGATAATTGAGATTCTGTACATGGGTGGGTCTATTTTCTATTATTCTTATTTACTCCTATGTTAGGTTTAAGACATGCTTTAAAGAATAAATCTTACAACTACATCTCAAAAATACTTTACTAAAGTAAAAATATTATATTTCTAACTGGGTACAATTGAGATTGTGATATTCTTATGTATGGGGTACGACTCATAAGATTCAGAATAGTCACTTAAATGAAGCTCAAAAATCTTTTATTTTAAATTTAACAAAAATATGTCAAAGATATTTTCTCCCGCAACTTCCAACAAAAGAATTAAACTAAAATTGTTTGCAGCATTTTTAAAGAAAAAAAAACTATATGCTGTAGATGGAATGGAATCCTCAAGCCAGAAAAACATGGAATGATTTTTAAAATGACAGTTTTTAATCATGTTCTGAAAAAAACTAACATTAAATTTTAAATTAATGTAGAATATTGCCCTTAAAACTCATAAAAACGTAAGTTTTCTGCAGAAACTCATAAAAAATGTTTAATTAATTAAAAATGCAATTTAATTATTTTAATTTAATTAGTTAATTAATAATTAATAATTTAATTATTTAAAAATAAAATTTAGATACAAATTTTAAAATAATAATTAAGATAATTTAATTAATTATTTTATGAAATAAAAAGAGGTTTTAAACAAGAAAATCTTACCTCGGAATTGTATTGTATTTTGAAAGATTAGATTAATTAATTACAAAGCTAAAATAAAAGTCAATCAAATCTAACATTTTGTATTCATTGACGAGTGCAGTTTAATCATAATTGTACATACATACAAGTAAAAATAAAAACATTTACTTAAGAAAATCATAGCAAAAATAAAGAAGTAAAAAGTGACCAACATACCACACTCAATGCAGGTTTGTGTACTTGCAAATTATTTCAAACGTAACCCACTGGACACAAAGAATTTTCAAACGGAAAGTTGAAGAAGCTATCATTAAGAACTAAACACTACACCTGGGTACGCTCAGGTAGTTTATAACTAGAATACATTATGAGCTGTTAGTCTATTTAAAACCAACTTGTGAACACTAACGACAAAGTTAGCGCTACTTCCAAATGTTATTCTTGGTCTTCACTTATGTTTTAAAATATTACTATTCTCATACTCAGTTTATTAGGTGAGAACTTAATTTAAAAAAAATAAATTTTCATAAAGCTCTATTGCTTTTTAAATTGTATACAGACTTATCAGTAGAACTTGAGTGCAAGTTAGGCCTACAATTATTGAGGAATGTCGAATGAATGATAAAATCGCTTACAAGTTGAAATCAAATATAATTTCATCTGATATAATTATAATTTAATTTGTAAAATAATCTTAATTTAATAATCACTAGAAACCTTAGATTAACATGTTCAAGTAAATTTTTACTCTGGAACAAAATCATTTTAGGTATGCATACCTAAACCTGATATGCTTATAGTTGCATACCTAAACCATAAAACATCTTGGTTGGTCAGCAGAAGTTAAATTTGACTAAGAATATTGAACAATTTAAACACTAAACAGTTTATATTTTATAACAATAAAACTTTATAAACATTACCCCATAAGTGTGATTGTTCTGATATTGTAAGCATAGAGGTTAGTTTAAGTAAGTTTGATAATTTGTAAGGTTAAATTAAAAGTTCTATTTCAGCAGAGGGTGACTTAAATAGGACATTCTGATAACTACGAACAACTCTAGTTCAGAGCCGAAAGTAGTAGTTTTATATTTTTTGGGCCTATCTACCTACTCCTTAAGAATCTTTTAAGGAACCAGTCCGATCCGGACGCTGGTATTTTTACTATCTAACGTCGACCTATGTTTAGATCACATCAATTATTGAAAGCCTATTGACAAAAACAGCATCTTTGTGTGAAAATATAAAAAAAATTACACACTTGCGACTTACTGGTCGAGTATGACGTATGAAGTCACCATCTTGTCAATCAGTTTTTTAATGTTTTGTTTCGTATCATACTCTGTTTATAGTATCACTAAAAACTTTTGAGGAACTTCAATGGATTGCCATTAGCAGGTACTTAAGTGAAAACAACTTGAATTACCTATTGTCGGGACCACGTAAGTTTGCAGTTGAGGGAGGAGCCTATTTACCATATGCTTTTCAATGAACCAATGAGAACCGTGTGGTGTTGCCAAATCTAATTATACCAGCTGATTTGAAAATATAGCTTTGTATTTTTAATTAGTGTTGTCAACGGGTGATGTGGCAACGTCGCACTAGCCTCGTCTTGTGATTGGCTACCACTAACTGCAAACTTACGTGGTCCCGACTTTAACTAACTCATTTGAAATTATCTGAAAATGTTGAGACAAGGATGGATTAAATTTAAAAATGAAATCTATTAAATGTACAGTAGAACCTCGATGACAAGACTCAAGGGGAATATTAAACAAGACTTATCGTCAACAATGACTTGTTATCAAGGTTTGCAACATGTGATTAGGGGTGAAATAAATTCAAGGCGATTTGAAAATGACACTTGTTATCTAGGGTGATAGTTATCGAGGTTCCACTACTAGCTTGATCACCATATTGAATAAACAAATAACTACTTCAGTGTACTTAGCTTTATAGTTTATAAGGACTAAGGAGTTTTTGGTAGAGTAAAAAAACTAAAAGACTACTTAACTTACAAAAAATTCATATTTATAAGTATACACTAGTTTTTATACAATTGTCCAGTTAACACATATTTACAATCACCGGTTGGCTGAAATCCGCAGACAACACAAGATCAACACATGATTTTGTCAGATATCGAGGAAAGTTCTATGTACGTGTACTTGTCCTGAATCTCTTGGATCTCTGTTGCACTTATCAGCCCAGCAGTTTCTGACAGGATGTCTACAACAAATAAACAAACAGTTGTTACATTCCATCTTTGTTTGTTTTGCTTATACAGGGTGATCAAAAAATTGGGGACATAATTTACGAAGTTTATTCCTCAGGTGAAAATAAGGAGAAAACCAAGAATTTTAAAATCGCTTTGTTAACCAACTATCTGCTATTTTGTGTTTTAAACATTTTTGTATCTTTAGATTGTTCTACCATATCTTTATGAAACTTGGTATGTAGGATAAACTAGAAGAGAACCAAGATTTAAAAAAATTATTTTAGTACAAATCAAAATGGTGGTCATTTAAATTTTTAAAATTAAATTTAAATTACTAAAAAATGCTGAATGAGGAGTATTTTGATTTGATTTTATAGGTTATAGATACTTAGTTTTGTTACATGACAATTTTAAACAAGTATTTATAAGTTCTAAATATTTATAAAATAAAACTACAGTACTATAATAATCCCAAATTGGTTTGAGTTAACTGGAAATTGATTCAATTAAACAAAACTCGTTTTAAAACCTACCAGTTTCATTTAATGATTTCTCCTGGACAATCAAAGAGATTTGTTGAGGCAAAGGCGACTGTTCAAGAAGCACATAAGTTGAAGACGCTCGTCGAAATTTGGACTCAGCGGTCAGCTTAAGCATCCATTTGTAGAAAATCTTGTCTCTGGAAAGTTAAAAGAGTTATATAATAACTTACAGTACCGGTAATACAACAAAATAATAAACATAGAAAAAATGTCCATTGTAAACCTCAAATATTTCATGGTCTTCCATCAGACATTACTGTTAAAAGAGATCTACACAAAGTTGACACAATTGATACTCAACTTAACTTAATTAAATTTACGTTTTTCTCGGACCGGTGAGCCATGTGGCCTGAGGAGACAGATAACAATTTTCTAAATAAAAATACATTGTTTCAATTTCAAGATCTTTTTTTATACGTTTCTACCCAAGGAATAAACTTACCAAATGACATCTTTATAAATATATTTTATTTTATTTTTCCAACAAAAATATTATGCGCGTATATCCTCAACCACCAATGGAAAAAAAATATGGTGGATACATCTGCAAACAGGCTTTACAAATATATCAAAAGGTACCGTATATAAAGAAAAAAAGTGTTTGGTTAAAAAAAATGTACTGAAAAATATTTCATTTAAAAATTAAATTTAAGGTAAACATAAGCGAGATTTATGCTCTAGAATGAAGTTATAAAGAAAAATCAAAGTATTTAGATCCTTTTTGTGTCTGGCAAAAGGTTGGTATGCAATGTAAAATGGAGCACTAAAAAGAGTAGTGCCATACTAGTTGATTACTACACAAACCTCCGCCGGGATGTCCAGAAAATTCACGGAAATATCCGCTTCTTGCAAAAACATCTACAAACATAATACGTCCCCAATCCTTCAATTCCAAAAAAATAAAGCAGATATACTATATACATTTCCGCCACAGAAGGGTTAATAATTCTAATTTGAGCTATCAAACAAATAAAAAAGATCTTTGGTGAAAAAACACAAAAAAAATCATATAAAGCGCAACCCCAAAAAACTCAACTAACAACATCAATGAGGCAAACTTACCCTTCAATAAATGTTTTAACCTCTTTGGTAATAACAGGGGCCCTCATCTGGTACGACCTGTTGTTGACCAGGTGGGTAAACGACTGGACCAGAGAGTTGGGACTGACGAACTTGGACAGAGCGAGGCCAGTGAACTGCATGATGATGGGAACGTCCATGGTGGTATGTATGACGGAGACCAACTCCAACACTGTGTGCAGCTGTGACAGCCAGGTGAGCCAGGTGTCTACTGCCGACTGCCACTCATGACTGGGTACCTCACTGAAACTGTAGAGAACGGTGTTACAATCGCTAATTAACACGTTCGCTGCTGACCGCTAGATGCCGGGACGGCGCCAGGAGCTGAACTACCGCTCGCCGCTGCGTAACATTGCCGCCGATACACTTAATTACAGTAAAAACAACAGTAGTTATACTGGATGGTAATGTTCTGCAATAAAACTGGCTTTGGACATAGTACTAAGTGATTCTGATAGATAGCACTACCCAGGTTGCAGTTGGTAAAGTAGTGTCGCTATCTAGCAGGAAAGAGGTAGCCCTGTTCTAAACAACCCTGGTGGTGATTTTGGGAAACTATATTTTTTATTGTCAGGAAAGTATGTCCCCATGAGCTGCAAAGAAATATAGGACGCTCGTGACGAGCTGGCTGATCCATGGAAATGAACGGTGACCTTCCGGAATGTTCCTAGCTCCTGGCAACGTGGCCCGGCTGACATTCTGGAACGTCTAGCAGCGAACGTGTTAAGAAACCAAATCACTATATGTGCACAATAAATAATAATACAAAAAAATTAACAGTATCAGAAAACTGACAAAAAATTCCTCCCATTGGCTTGATATTAAAATTATACATGCTACTTTTATTGACCACTTTTATTGAGCAAAAATATAAAAAACTCAATCGTACTTATTGCTTATTTTAATGAACATTTCTTGTGTATTTGCATTAAACTGTGTGGCAGAGTAAAAACTAAAAACTTTACCGTAACGTAAACATCTACACTACAATGATAATTAAAAGATATCATTCAGGGAAAAGTAAACAAACAAACCATAAAAAAAAGAATGGCAAAATGCTGACACATATTTAGTTTAATACAACCCTTTAACTGAAATCCGTACCCTAAGGAGAGAGTAAATTGAAAAACTAATATTTTGCAGGGAAGTGTCTCATCAAGACTTGTCATTCAAGTATGCGGTTGATAGGTGTGCGGCTAACAGTTTTCTCAAAAGTTTGTGTTTATTATTACCTTTAGATATTCTGAGAAATATCCAGTTTACCTTGGAAGATCGGGGGCAGACAGGTTTTGCATGTTTGTGATGTTTGATGCTAAGAACATAAACATGTAGTCTCGTTTGAGTTTCTCTAGTCCCATCTCTACCAACAGTTCCAGAGGTTCCATCATAAACTCTACGTCTGAACTGCTCGACTTGATGTTGCGAAGCAGGCTGGCTAACCGTGTGCGGTTCTTGGCAAATATCTGTGTAATTTAATTTAGTATTAAAACAAACGTCCATTAAAATTCAGGTGTTCAGAAGTTGCAATAAAATTTTGTAATTTTACTGTTGAAAATTTCTTTCTATAACTAACTCAAAAAAAGCTTGAAGCTCGAGCTTTTATCCCAAAACTCGACTCGAACAAAAATCTCAGGCTTGCGTACCTCCATTTTATTACTTTCGTGTAGGATATAGCATACAGACAAAAATGTAAATTTGAAGATTGAAATGAATGTAGTTTGAGTTTACAAGAACAGGTGGTGAGTTGAATTAAGATTGATTCAACATAAATTTCTTACATATGGTTTGATAGACTGCTTCCTCACTTCTCTGATCACAAGACGAAAACTTTCTTTCAACTCCTGGTAGGTTTCCGCTTCTGGAAATTAAAACAATTATTAATATATTTTTAAATTGACAGAGATTAACACAGATATATAGTTTTTAGTGACCAAACTAAACCAACTAATGTGACGGTGCAATTTCGTCTTGGGACAAAATTGTACTGTCGGCCTCGGATAGCTGATCTAATGTATGTCCAGGGTTAGTGGTAATAATAATAGTATTTAGTTTAAAAATATGGGCTCAGATGGTCAACTTGGTAATTCAGCATCAGCTTTCAGTAAATGACACATTCATCACTGCCCGGGTTAGGCTTTAATTTAAACAAATTAGTAATTTGGACTAATAGGCGTTAATTCCGTGAGTGAAACACTGGTCGTAACTAACTAAAATCGTTAAATTCGAAAATTTAACAAATCTTTACTTAATTGATATGTACGGTGTTTCACTTTAGGAATTAAAACCAACAATACTTAAAATAACCGAAATGATAGTCGCGGGTCCACGGGCTATTTCACCCTGGCCTAGCACCTACTATTCGACGATACCAGGGTTGTTCCACCACTGGTTCAATTACCGGGCTATTTCGCCCTCCCCTACCAGGGATGTTGCTAGCTATTTGCCCAGCGCTCGAGTGACTAGTCCCCTGTCCTGCGCCCTATTTATAGGGGTCGCGACGCTAACGCAGTACGTGGCTGCTCGGAGAACTAATGACCCGGCGCAGGCCATTTGAAATCGTATGAATGCTCGTTTTCTGATCTCGTAATATTTTTACCATTACAGTGAAGAAAAACTACCACATAAACTGAAAACAGACACAGTCAATAAAGAAATGGAAACTGCAACAAGTACAATAAGAAAGAAAAAAATCTAATTATTTTGACATTTATTGATATCTCCAATATCCAGAAAAAGCAGAAAGATCGTAGAAAAATTATGGAATAGCAAAATCAACATCAAGTCAAGTGGATTACAGAAATAAAAGAAGACATGAGAGAACTAAAAATTTCAATTGATGATTTAAAAAGTAATATTTTTTAAGCACTAAAAGACAAACACACCACTCTACAGATGAAAATAAATAAACAAAGGACTGCAAGAGTGATTTCAGACGAGGCTTGAAAAAATATATAAAGGCTTATGTACTTACTCCACCCTCAGTCTTTTTTAGTACTAGTAGACTATTCAGTGTATCCCATCGAGACCCATTGTCAAATCTGACATCAAATTGAAGAGTTTGTATTACATAGACAAATTAATTATTTGTCACTACACAATTAGGACATTGAAACATTGATTAAACAGACAAAATTTAAAGAGACCGAATTGACTGAAGACGGACAAGGTATGTTACCCCACACCAACCCTTCCAACCAACACCTTTACACCAACCAACCAACACCAACACACCAACCAACAACACCAACCTTAACCTTTACATTCCAATTCATCAGCTGGCAAGAATGTTGAACAAAAAAAACTATGGTATGACTGGATGAAAAAAATTCTAGGGCAAATGTAAACAAAAAAAGGAAAAAGTAAAATAAACAATTAAATAAATCCTAATTTTTTTGAGCTTACAAATAGGTTAAAAACTGTTTTCATCACATTCTCCAATCAAAAATATGTTGATTGTTTTGTGATTTGCTTTAACGAGAGTAGTTGTTTACCGATGAGCAGACTCCAAAGTCGGTCCGTAAAGTCCTGGCCCTTCTGCTTGTCAGTGAGCAGCTCATGAATGGTAGAGTTGAGTACTGATGTCAGGTTGACATGATTATCCAGCTGTCTGCAGACTGACATACTGTCAGAACTCTGAAGTAACTCGGTCAGCCGCTCTGACAACGCCTCTCTCTTCCCGGCTTCTTCCTGAAAAACATCAATGTCAAATGTGAGGATGACTTATTGGCTTTAATCTCACCTTTATTTTATGAAATAATTATTTTAAATGTAACCAAATAAATTTTAATAAAGTTTTTTGAAGTGTTTTTTGGTTTTACTAATAAATTTTATGTTAGGCTAGGCTATCTAGAGTAAAACTCCAATTATCTGAAGTTTTACTATCTGAATCTGTGATTATCTAAATCATCTATGGAAATAATGTTAAGACCTACAGTTAACAACTACAGTAATAAGACAACTACCTATGTAAAAAACTACAGTAATAAGATTGGTTATTAAGGAAGGCCGTAGCTGTGATTGCGCCAAAATCCTGAACATCCCCAGCGGTCTTGTCTAGACCTCATCATCGTCTCTCGCGGTCACGGAAACATCACAAATTTCTTTCCGTGATTGCAGCAAAATCTTTAATATCCCCCCAAGATCCTGTAGACATCTTCATCGTCTCCCATGGTCATGGAAACATCATCATTGTTGTCCATCGCAGCAAGCGGGAAGTTTTTGATCCCAAAATCTTTGCAGACCCGTACGATCCTGATAGTTAAAGCTCATTGGCCATTTTCTATAACAATACCCAAAACTTTAGTAAAAATCCACTTATCCGTATATTTTGCTCATCTAAATATGTTACGGGTCCCTATTGATTCAGATAGTTAGAGTCCTACTGTACATCAAGTTATTTAACTGGTAGAATGTCCACAATACTTACTGTGCTACTGTTGAAACTCGGCAGCTTCATGCCATCGCGCTGGTACGTGACTTGGACCACCTGACTTTGTTTCCATTCTTTGATCATCTCTATGTACTTGTGTAGATGGATCAGCTGATCCCACCACCGAGATATCTGCGACTCGGCCTGGCCTACGCTGCAATCCACTATCTGCATAAATCACACAGCTGTGTAAGGAAACGGTCCAAACTATAGTCTTGTTAGATGTTTCAAATACATCCTAATTTTATAGGAACAGAAAATCCTTTTCTGACACCATGCAAATTCATTTAAAAAAGAATAAATTTTAAAAGAACATTTAAATTCAACTCAGTGACTTTTCAATGAGTTTTAAAACCTCAGTGACTGGTAGAAATTCTGTTTATGTTTTGATATGTAGGAGAACTTACTGTCACATATGTGTTAGTGATTAGTGTTAGTTGGTTAGTGTTAGTTCACTTACTAAAGTTGTATCCGCTTGATTTACAGGGACCTCATACGACGGCTTCTTCCATTTCGCTTCAAGATAACACTTGGAGTGTTTTGGTATTCCTGGGTAGTCTATTTTGAATACACAACATACTTCTGAGGTTTGCTGTGAACAAAATATAAAATTTGGATAGCATTGAAACATTTACTTTTTTCTTAACTCATGAAAAAGGACACAAATACAAATTTACGTCTTAGTTAATTTATCCTTTTACCAAATTACATAGGTATCAATCAACTTTGGTTTTTATAAATATTAGGCAACCTTGTTTGTTATATTAGCATTTAAACTAAACTTTAGCCAAACTGAACTAAACTAACTCATCCTAAATGCCTCAACACAATCAATATAGCCTAGTAGTCTTCTTTGAAAAAGATTCTACAGCCAAATTCAAATTTAATGTACATATAATCAATGTTATTTTGTGTGAAAAATATATCCTAAATTATATAGATATTTAACTAATAATTTCATCTTCATGCCATAATATACCGTCTAGGTTCTCTTTGGAACTGTACTCCAAATTAGAAATAGTTACAGAATATTAATTCAGCATACCTTGTAACCAGAAGTTATCTTGAAAGTTTCCTCAAATTTGTCTAACATCTCCTTAATAGCGATCTTCTCCGTTTGAAGTGAGTGTGCTGTGGCCCAAGAAATGGTTCTCCAATGAGACGACTCGACGACAGTCGAGAGAAGAAAATGTTTGAGAGCATCTGACGTATCGCATAAAACCCACACTGGTGCTGGCAAGGGACCCATCTTCATAGTTACTGTAGATAACACTTTCCTGACAAATAACCAATTATTTTTTCCAAGTCGATAACATAATTTACTACATGATTGAATGCACCAGAGGGGGCATCAGACTTTAAGACGCAAATGGGCGTATTGGTTGTTTGACCAAATTAAAATTTTCTCAGAAAAATAAACCCTGATTAGGGATGAAAAGAAATTTTTTTTATGTACTCAACTATCTTAAAATGGTAAGAATAAACATATGGTAGAAAATTGCATTTTAGACACTAGCACAATCTCTGACTAGCTCACTCAACAACGAATTGTTTTTTTTTTTTTTTTAATGACATTAATATGTGATGTCTCTTTCATTATACAAAGTCATTGATAATAACTGTTTTATGTGTAGGTACAGCTCGTGACATCTAAGCTGGCACTTGGCCTATCGCTACTAGTACCTATTTCAAAAACATTATGTCCCGTCATGCGGGTTGTATCAACTGTCCTCGCGACCCATATGAAGGCGCTCAAGTACTTAATACAAGGGGAGTCAACCCCGTGGGGCAGCGGAAATGTTTGCAGTCCGGTCTTTTCCCAACCTCCACCCTCCTCCCGCCTACACTGCCCGCACTAGGCCAAGTGCCAGCTTAGGTGTCACGAGCTGTACAATATATTCATAGGCACTTTTCAGGGCGTTACTGATATAATAGATCCAAATATTTCAAATAATATCTGTCACCCTACCTGGCTTCTTTCATAGACAAAGGGGCGTGGAAACTCTCCTCAGTAAGGACTACAGGGTCCATCGTTACAGTGTCGTCCAGATCATCATCATTGCCGAACGGACACTCCAATGGCTGGCCAGTCAATGACAAGTCTGGGGAAATGCAATGGTAAAGTTATCAAACAACAATAGAGAGTTGCTTTTGATACTAAATTATTTCATTATATACTGATCTAAGTGGCGGACTGTGTCTCTTGGTATGATTGTTGGCTACAGACCCCCTCAAACTTGATCAAATGTAGCATTATTTCAGGACTGTATGCAATCAATTTGAGAAGATCTGTGTTAAAAAAATAAAAATTTTATTTGGAAATATAGCCTCTGGATCGTTATTGAACATGATTAAATCTAAGGCTTTACAATAAAAATGTTATAGGCCTATTTTGCCTATAGGCTACTCACAATATAAATGTTGGTTCTGTCACAGAGCTACAAGAAAAAGAATCCTGGACAAGGTTTAAATCTTACAAACACGAGGTCATTATTGACTAGGCTTAAGAAAAAAAATTAGGCCTACTTATGCCAAAGGTAAATTCTTCTACAAAATGCTGCCTGATTTTATATTTAGAAAGAAAATAATTTGTTTGGATATAAAAACAGATGAATTGCCATTTGCCATTTGTTGTCACTACCGATAGGCTAAAGCCTACATTCTAGAAGAATATCTATGTCATATTAATGTCCGAACGTTTTTTTTAAATTTTAGAGTTTTTAAAGCCGTTCCATATACCTGATGTACAAAATATTAATCTACAAAAGCTCTAATGGGACATAGCATGTAGAAATACTGACCAACTGTTCCATGTACAGTAACTGAAGGAAAGGCTTGAACTACGGAATTGGGTCGAATTCTTAGGCAGGATGCTGCAATTTATCAGGTGAGGTTAAATATGTTCTGAGGACCGCAGTAGAGTGTCTATTTCTCACAACTCTGATGTCCTTAGGACACAGTTTGCCTCTTCACATTCAATTAATCAACCAATGAAAGAACCCAACACACACTCACCATGTAAACTGTTATCCAATCCACTTATGTCGGTCACGGAGAAACCATTTTTGTGATCAATGTTGAGTGGTTGACCCTGAAACAATCAATGTGGGACACTCGGTAAAATAAGTTCCCCAGCATCTCGTTAAAATGTATTAGACTGGGTTTTCCTAGGCATGGATAGCGGACTAAGAAACCGGACGTGGAGAAGGGATTTCCGCTCGTCCAGTCTACTCTGCAGCTAGTAAACAGTAAGCCTAACATTAAATTACCTATGACAAAAGAACTCGCTTACGCACCTTGGAAAACCCAGCTTTACTAATGTCACTGTAACTGTTGCTGATCTAAAAGTTTTCCACCTTCGCCTGAAAGGTTATTGATTGCTCACTACGATTACGCTATAGGTGCTTCGAGGTTACACAAAAACTATCTATCTATATTATTAATACGCTACATACATGAAACATTGTGAACAATAAGACTTTTTTGTTTTAAGATTTAACCCCACATATAATAGGCCTATCCCAAAATGTTCGTCTAGGTGTGTAGATTTGCAATCTGAGCTTAACATTTTTGAAAAAGTCCCTTGGGCTCTACCCAGTGGCTTTTTAAGTTACCACAGTATCCTTAAGAAGAACATAAGTATTTGTTTTCATTATGATCAGCTGGATAATTTAATTTCTTTCAATATTTTAGTTGCAGTTTAAGGAAACGTGTGAATGAATCTTAGTCTGGAGATTACTGTATTTAGATGACTACTGTAGAATATACGAGCTGATATTTTGTATGTGTATGATCCTCAATACACACTGTTATTATAGACACTACAAAACGGGGTCATATTAATTTTCCTGACATCAACTACTGTCCTAAGTTATAAATAATGACCAACTTTATCTCACCTCTTTGTAAACCAGTATGATTGGATCCTCTTGATGTGAAATCAGCAAACTGGATATGTAAACTGGAGGTTTTGTAACTTTTACAATGGTGTCAGGGAAAGCCTGACTAAGGATTGTACAGCCTTCATCTAGATTCATCATTGTAGATTATTCTGAGGATTGTAGTGGCCTAACTGAAATAACAAAAAATAAGTTGGTAGGCCTAGGCTAACTTTAGGCTACAGTACCGGTACCTACCTAACTTACCCTAATATGTCATCAGATTATGATGATAATAAGTCGTATCAACTATAAGACATAAGACATTTATTTATCATTTTTACATATGTAATGCATAGACAGGTCAATTGTTAGTAAATACATCTCGTATTCAGTCTTGAGTTAATAAATGTATAAATATATAAATAACAAGGAATTCAGTTAATACAGTCAATATAATACAAGAGTTAAAATTGAAATTGAGCGACGAGCAAATAAATACAAAAGTTACAGACCATGGCAAGAGATTAAAAATTTGACAGTAATAAATTAAAAAATCGTGCAACTTATATCTAAAACACAGTTACATCCTATTTCAAATATTTTTTATTAACTTATCAGACATGCTAAAAAATCTTCGATACGGTATAGCGGGTTGTTTACTAAAAATAAAAACAGCCTTTTCTTAAAATTCTTAAAGTCTAAATCTGTCACAGCCAGAGGTAATTTATTTAATAGCCTGATACCCATCACAACATGTCCTGATCTTGTTTTTTCCAACCGTACCTGAGGCAGATCAATCTTTTTGCAGTTTCTGGTACTAATACTGTGCACTTCATTTCTCATTTTGTATTTAAAGCTATTCTTAAAAGTAAACAATAATAATTGATAAATGTATACCTAAGTTAATGATGGTCAATATTTTAAATTCAATAAAAAGGGGTTTACAGTGTGCTTCACTATCCTCTTTACACATTATTCTGATGATTTTTTTCTGAGATAGAAGTACCTCGTGGATTTTAGGAGAGCTACCATAATAAATTAAACCATATGAAGCAATTGACTGAAATAACGCAAAATAAGCAGATTTTACATAATCAAAAGGAACATAGTGCACTAATCTAGAGAACAAGAAAACAATTCTTGAAAGCCTATTTGTTAGTTGATCAATCTGCTGTGACCAGCTTAACTGTTTATCAATCAAAACACCCAAAAACTTAACATAATCTTGTGAATCAAAAACATCAGGTACTTTTCTTAAGCTAAATACATGACAGATTTTGTTTTTCGTTGTTCAAGAGAAAAGAGTTTGCTGCAAACCAGTCTGAAATGTTACCAACTACATCTTTAACATGCAAACTTAATAAATCTATATCAGAACCATGCACAAGAAAGGTCGAGTCATCAGCATATAAATAGGTATCACAGAGAACATTATTAGGCAAATCATTTATCGATACTAAAAATAGAAACGGCCCAAGTATGGACCCTTGCGGGACTCCGCATACTACATTAGACATAGCTGACCGCTCGCCCTTGACACAAACCACTTGTCTTCGGTTGCTTAAGTAAGAATTTAATAGGTTAAGGTTAAGGGCAGCCCCACCGACTCCGTAGTGCTGTATCTTGCCCAAAAGGTATAAGGCCTACCATCAAAGTTTCTTCTACCTTTTGGATCCTAAGAAGTCTAGATCATGGTAGTGATTTAAAACTGGACCCGGCAGTCCTAAATCATTAATCAATCATCTTTTATAAGGTGCTATGCTGGCTAAAGGACGATCTGATTTCAGTCAGTAAGTCAAAACTCAAGAATTAATACTGTAACTATGCCTAGTATTACGCATGAATTGTACATGTCTTTGCAGAGTTTGCAACAAATTTTTCTGAAGTATCGCTGGCTAAGTTTAGGTAACTTAAGCCAAAAAGTTTAAATAATTAAGGTTAGGTTATGGATAACTTAATTTATTTTGAAAATGATTAACCACATAACGGTTGAGCTTATACTTCATTTACTTACTTGTTGTGTTGAAGAATATGAGTAAGTTTGTGTCTTTAGAGCGTTGATATTACAATTTAAATCTTTAGAAGAGTGATTGAGGAATTAATTCAAACTCAAACAACGAAACAACAAAACAAAACCGCTTGAGAAGTCCGCCCGCTTTCTTATGTCAACTGAAGAAAACAAGAAAACTATCAGACAGAGCAGCAGCTGGATAGATAAATACAAAGAGGAAAACTTTACACATGCTCTTAGAATAAGTAGGTGCCATAGTAATCCACTTGCTAGGGGGGTTCCCGTGTGCATTTTATGTATAGAAAAACACCCTAAGGGATCATGTAGGTACTATGTGCGTTATCATTTTCATGTGCAACGTACTATACTTCGATGGCAACGTATTGTCATTTTTCGTATCATTTTTCGTACAACGTACGAAATTACAGACCTATTGCCATTCAGCCTGACTTATCCAAGATTTACGAAAGTCTCATTCTTGATTCCTAAAGTTTTCAGCTCAGCAAACACATTGTTACCGAACAACATGGATTCATGCAAAATCGCTCCTCTAGTACCAACCTCCGTATCTTTCAAAATGCCGTAATGACAGCGTTTACTGAACACTCTTAAGTAGATTGCGTTTATCTGGACTTCAGTAAGGCCTTCGACAGGATTGACCATCGACTGCTGATTGCAAAACTAGAAGGATATGGCATATGTGGCTCATTACTCTGCTGGGCTGGATGAAGAGTTACCTCACAGGTTGCATCCTCATTGTTAAATGTGACGGAGGCCTGTCTCCCCCTTTCTCAATCACTTCGGGAGTGCCGCAAGGCCCACCTTGGCCCACTGCTGTTCAATCTGTTCGTCAATGACATCTGCAATTCGATTACAACAAAGTTCCTTCTGTTTGCTGATGACATAACGATTTTCAACAAAATTACTTCGACAGATAGCCAAGAAGAACTCCAACTCTCGCTCAACAACATTAGCACCTGGTGTAAATTGAATGCTATGGAACTCAACGTCTTGAAATGTGTGGTCATGTTCTTCAGTCGAAGTAGCGTGGTGCATGAAAATGTTTATTGCATTGATGGCATCAGTCTAAGTGTGGTCCAGAGAATCAAGGATCTTGGCGTGATTACCACTCCTTCCCTTTGCCCACTTGAACATTTGGTGTATTTGTCTTCTAGAGTATCCTCTCTGCTGGGTTTTATCTACCACTCTACGAGACCCCTTAAATCTCCTTTGACATTAGTCACCCTGTACAATTCACTAGCACGGCCAATTTTAGAATACTGCTCCGTCATTTGGTCTCCATAAGTAGGCCACATGGACATCCTAAACAGAATCCAGACACGTTTCCTCAGACTGCTAGGTCTTAAACTTGGATTCCCCTTCCTGCAAGCACCAGTGACAGCCCTGGCCCAACAGTTTGATATACAACCTCTTCCAGTGAGACGACGGGTCTCTGACATCATCTTCTTGAATAAACTGGTAAATGGAATCAGTGTCTTCTCGTCTCGACTTCTTCGGGCCATCGCCAGCTTAATTCAAGCGAGACGTCCGGAGGCTACTCCACTAAAGTGACCGCTACAGTGTTCTGGTCATGAAACAGTGTTTTGTTTCACAATCAAGGGACAAGGGTCACAACCACATTGTAGGGCGGGGGGTTGTTTCGATTTATCTGCTGTTTGCATCAGAGTCTATCTTTTGTTATCTTTTTTATAAATTTTATCACTGTTGCCCACTTCATTCATTATCACTGTTATCTATTTCTAGTCTGTTATTGTTATCACTATTACTCGTTTCCGTATTGCATCTATCACCACTGTCAGTATTGTTGCCAATTATTACTAGTAGATTATTTATCGCCAAGTATGTTATATATTTTATTTGTTATTGTTACCTATAGTTATAGTCTGTTATTCGCTGAGCAAGTTACTTAATTATTATGATTACCTAGTTAATTCAACTTTCACTCTTCAATTGTTATCACAACTGCATTTCATTTTCATTGAACATGTTTTTCATCTTTTTAATTCATTTTAATCTTTGCACGTATCACTGATGTATCTGTACAACATTTATCAGCATGTAATAAGCATCTTGTCGCATATCACAATGTAAAACGATTGTAAAAAATGGTGTTTGCCGTAAAAATAAATAAATGTGGGTGCCAGCTTGGCAGAGTGGGCATAACCTCAGAATCCGCCATTTTAAAAATGGCGGTGGCATTTATTACATGAAAATCATTGGGAGCTTATATCTCGAAAACGGTAAATATATAGCGAGTTACTTTTACAATAAAGTAAAAGCCCTTACATTACTGAATATTTTAAGACTAGAACGAACTGCAACCGTTAATAAGAACTGGAGATATAAGAAAAATAATTTTTAAAAATTATCAAACTACGAAACGTCCATAAGAAATGTATGGGGGAGAGTTTTCGTTTGAACATATCTTCTAAACGAAAACAATATATTTAAAAACACATTTCGGCATTGAAATCAGTGTAAAAATGTAGTTTGAAATGATGCGTCACAACATTATAATTACATTAAAAAAATATATCTATGTCCAATATGGCGGATCCAAGATGGCGGCCAAAGACGCGTTCCCTATCAAAATGAAGTACTAACGACCCAATAAATATCGGCGGTGGTCCCAAGTCAGTTTCTCAAAAATTGTTCATAACAATATGCATGTAGTATCTTTTTTCAAAAAATTTCCAACGTTGGGAAAAGTCGCCATTTTAATTTGTGATTTTAGGGGTTTTCTCGTGCACCGATTTTTGGAAACTTTTAGTATGTCGTTCTGCAAACCCAACACTACAAAATAAAACCATAAAACGTTTTTTTTTGCAATTTTTTTTAGGTCATATCCTATATTTCTCTGACTCGAATCTTCGCCTATCGGGTCTGATGATGATTGGAGTGTCCAATCGAAATCGATCACCACTTACCAACTTTTACATGTATTTACCGTCTTGTAAGTCAACAGTATAAGTGTAAATATATTATTGCAAGTGTTATTAGACGTATATATTTCTGTATTTTTCAGTTAATTTAATAACACGTACGATGCTAATGAAGAAGTACCGGTAATGTACTATTTTACATAGTGAATTAGTCAAATCTATAGCTGGTTTCCACCCCCCCCCACAATGGTTCACAAGGGTAGGTGCAACTCTGTTCACAGTTATGTTTAATTTTTGTTTGTTTATTGAAGAATATTTTACAGTGCATCATAGATTTAAAATTCAAATATACATATTATAATTATTACAAAATTTAAGAGAAAAAATAATGTTAATTCTTGATTTTAGGTTCAGTTTTGACTTGGCAAAGTTCACTTGACTTATCAGACGTTATTAATTATTTAGTGAAAAGAATGTTAAGAAAGCTATGCTTATGTAGACCATCGTACATCAAAAGGTTTTTGTAATCTATGGTAGTTCCATATACTGTATGATGAAGACTACGTTATCAATGACGAAGGTAAACTTGGACAACCTAATACGGCTATGAGTAGGAAACATTATTTGTAGTAAACATTAAAAACCAAGATCAGTTTTTAAAAAATGATAAAATATTTGCAAGAAGTGTTGTTATATCGGACTGTTATGTACACTATGCGAATTTCCATTAGTTGCGTGATATTTGAATCTTTTAAACTCATCGGAAATTGTGACTGTTATTCGTTATTAAAACTCCCGTAATACTTTGTAAAAAAAACCAAATTAGAGAATATAAAGTAATTGATTTTTCTCAAACAATTATTGGAAAAATCTGTGTACATTTAATACACTTTGTAAGTCAGATTTAAAAACGTAAGTATAAAAATCACTACTCCATTTATTAGCTCTTTCTTACAGAAGGTCATAATCACTTTATAAAAAAAATGTCGAATCCCTCGATTCTGACAGGAACGATCAGTTTTAACATAGCAAATTTATAACGACCAATTATATATAACTTCACTTTCGATGAGAAAAAGATTACTGAAATTCGATAAAGCTCTCCCAAAATCCAAGTGTATCTCGTATACATATATAATCAGCGCTTAATTCAACCGTATTAACCTAAGCTAATGTCTCAACAATTAGATAAACTACCCTTACTCTCAGGTGATTAATCTATAGACTGACCCAACACAACCCCCTGACCGTACCTATATCTCTGTCTCTTTCCCTCGGAGGATTATGTCTAAGCCCCAGACAGAATGAAGGAGGACGAGTGAAGCCCGCTTTAGCCCCGTAGATGAGATATTAAACCTTTGTCCTCCCAAATACATTTCACTCTTGACATTATAAAGTGGTCACGACCCTGAACTGTGTGCTCGCAATAGATCAACCGCTAACCGAGGAAGTATTTCATGATCCTTGCTTTGTCTTAGTTATTGCAATATGGTTGTAATCAGCATATTGTTTTATGATATTTTTAAAATGTATTTTGCCAACATCATTTACAAACAAGTAAGCCAATTCGTGATTTTTTTTTGTAATATTATATTTATAGGTTAATTAATTTATTAACTATGTCTAGATATTAAATGATCCTATATTCCATATAAAGATTATGTAAGCTCAATAAGAATTATATTCCCTCTATTATATGAACGGATTAAAGTAAAGTTCTGATTCAAGTTTTTCTGATTGTTGCTATGGAGACGAATTTATATTTATTTTTAAAAACCTCACCTCACAAATGTGAAAGCCCACGGGGCAGAGCCCGAGTTCAACATTGAAGGGGGAATAATCCTTAACTGTTTCTTATTATAGAAGCTATATTTCTACAAAATTTAAATCCAGTCGGTATGGTAGTTGTAACGTGATTGAGTAACACACACACACAGACATCATTAAATGTTAGCTATGTATGGAAGAATCTATTACTATAGGTGGAATGATAAGCCCCAGACCTGAACCCGATTTACTTTTTCATGTTGATGTGCCAAGACAAAACGATTTGTACGAGGAAAAATTAAAATGCTTCACGAAAAGGTTATTTAGATATAAAACCCGTCTTAAACAATTCGACTTCCAATATTTATATTTACAAAAGTTAGTACACTTATTAGGAAGCGTATCTTAAAATCATAAAACCAAAAAGGACTACGTACAATCTTTTCATAATTCATAGGTGCATCGACACCAATTTTATATCTTCCCAGGAAGCCTAAATAAGTGTCCACCACCTGAGTTAATAAAAACATACTTATATCGATATTCTGTATCCAATAGTCAATGGTCGAGGTAAGTGGTGCAGTTGAATTTAGTTTCTAAATTAAATACAATAATAGTGGAGGTAAAACTATTTTTACGGCGAGGAGACTAGTTAAATCAATCACCGCTAGATGCCGCTACCGTCGAGGCTCGTGATAGTTCACGTAGTCTCCGCTAGATGCATTGTCAATCGATAATAATTAATCCACTATAGCTCATATATTAATGAGCGATTTTAAATGTTAAAGAATAAATCAAAAATAGATACAAAATTGGTTTTAGGTAATATGTAGTAAGCTATACATTTATAGTGGTCTTATTTTCAATCTAAAGCTGTGGTATTTGAGAATAATACATTTTCATCGGTTGACACTCGCAGTGATTTGTTAGTTTCTCTTACAACACTAGCTCAACTGGAGATAGAAACTGTACTTGTTAATTCTTGTCATACTTCCTCATCTTTATTTGATTCTTTGAGAAGCCGAGAGTTGTGTCTCCTACTTACTTGAGACCGATGATTGGCTTATAATTCAAATCGCTTGGTCAATGTTATCTGTCATTCTAAATATATAAAAGGCAAAGCCCTCACTGACTGACTCACTCACTCACACATCACTAATTCTACCACTTCCCATTTACCTAGGAGGCTGAAATTCGGTACACCGATTCTTTGGGCATTAAATAGGAAAACTAAGTAGTTTTTATTCTGATCGGGCTTTCGGGCTCCGCCCCAGTGGCTCTGGAGTTTCCCTAGTTAACCTTATGATTTGTCATATTTAAAAGGAGTTTCTTAACAGCTGTTTCAATTAAACAAGTTGGTTCTGTTCTATGATGTCCAATAGCATTAAAGTTACAAGGATTACCAACAGGGTGCAGCACTATTATTTTTTTAAATTTATGACTACAGCCAATTTGCAACCAAAAGGTGAGTGAGCGTAGCGAACGAACTTCAACCTGGAAGCAAGTTAGCGTAGCGAACGAGCTAACCTGAAGGCAAGTGAGCGGAGCGAACGAGCTCCAACCTAAAGGTGATTTAGCGTAGCAAACATACTTCAACCAGGACGTGATTGAGTTATGCGAACGAGCTCACTTGTGAAGTTAAACGGGGCAAAGCCCGCGGGTACAGCTAGTAACCATATAAAACGAAAACAACATAACATACTTTACCCGCAATGTTATAACCATATAAAACTATAACAACACAAGAAGTAATAGCCCAAGCCCAGTCCAAAAAGGTTTTGTAATGGAACAAATCAGCGACAGGCAAATCTATATACCACTGTGTAGTACACACAAAGATGTACATGATATACAAAGATGTACAAAGATGTACAAAGATGTACAAAGATGTACCAAAAGTCCCCTTTAGTGCTTTCACATCCGCTCCCTCAAATTCATGAATTGCAAAGTTTTACTAAGTTACGCATATAACCGATGTGGCTCATTCGATTACAATAATCTTTAATTCGTTGTATTCCTAAATAAAGTATAAATATAAGAAAGGATAAATCCAATACTTTCTCCAAAATGTAATAGATTAGTTAGTATTTTACTAGGAATTTTTTAATAATTAGGAGACCTAATGTAGTCTACCAATGGCCAATGGCTAGTCTTATAGTGGCAACCCCTTAGACAATGGTACTATCAGCCCGGTACGCTATCCACTACACCTCCGAGACCTGCGGCTGTTTAACGTATCGTTGCGGTAATGGTGTTCGCTCGAGCAGTGGTGAGTGGTGGTGGGCGGTGACGGTCTGTCGGCAAGGGTTAATCTTGTAACCACGATTTCCTTCACCTGCGATGATATATGCAAATATCAAACAACATAAGAATTAATAGCCCAGTCAATAAAGGTTTTGAGTCGGAACAAATTAGTGACAAGCAAATTTATATACGACTGTGTAGTATATAGTACTCATAAAGATGTACATTGTACCAAAAGTCCCCTAAAATCTCCTCGATGTTTATCCCTCAACCCCCCTCAAAGTCGGGAACTACAAGGTTTTACTAAATTACTCGTGTACTAATTACTAATATACTATTTACTTAAAAAATAATCGTCTACTAGTTACTCATATATCCGATATGGCTTATTCGATTACAATAATCTTTAATTCGTTGTATTCCTTAATACATTGTCTACAATAAAGTGCCTATAGGGTTTTGCGATAAATCCAATACTTTCTACAAAATGTAATGATAAATTATGGAACTGAGCAAATTTCTTAACATACTTAGTCCGAGCCTTGGTGACGCTGCCAAAAATCCTTTCGGGCTCTGACCCAGTAGGAATTTCCCACGTTAACCTTATGCCTTTTCACATTTAAAAGGAATAAAAGCATTTTGTCAGTTGTATCAACTAAACAAGTTGGTTCTATGATATTCAATTGCATTAGAATGTTATAAAGGTTACCAACAGGGTGCAGCACTATTTTTTTGCATTTATGACAACAGCTAATGTTAACTAGCAGCTACAAAAAGCTGTGATACACAATGAGAACAGTCGAAGTAGAATTGTTCACAGTGTTATGTTTGTGTTTTAATTTACCAATTGGTGACAATCATTCAACAAAGATATTTCGATACTTATTTGTTTTTGAAAATTATGCAATAGAATACTACGAAACAATAAAATAGACAATACAAATTATAAAAAATATATCAAATGGACAGAGAGTGTAGTGTATACACTGCAGAGCATTAAAATGGAAAGATTCGCTGGCATGAATGTGTTTTTCTGGTAAAAGGTTTCTTTATCTGGATTAAAAGAGCCGATACAGCTATGAAAGGACTATACTTGGAGAAGCTAGAGTCGCGCCATTTTCAGTTTTAAGATTTTTTATGTTGTAAGATTTTTTACTCTATCAAACAAATGGGTTTAATTTAGTTTTAATTGTAATTTAATCGCTGTAGAATCTTTAATCATAACATGATTTGTTTACTGTGCGTGACGCAACGAATAAAATATCATATTTTTGTGATCGTTGTCGACTCCAATACGCACGATTGTAATACTCTGTTTATTTCTGAAGATGTAAGATGTTATTTCTCATTTAAGTTCATACCATCGCAAGCGAAGCCACGGGTAGAAAATAAACGTGACACTATTTTGGTAAAAATCCATGAAATTCGTATAATATTTGTTACAAGGGGTGTACAAGGAGTTTTGAGACTAGTTCAGTCAATCACCGCTAGCTTTGCTACCGTCGAGCCTCGTGACAGTTCATCTAGTCTCCGCTAGATGTCTCTCATGCCGATAATACTTAATCCACCGTAGGGTGATATATTACTGAAATCTTTCTCATTTTAAAACTGTTTAAAAATCAGAAACAAAATTGGCTTTGGAAAAAATACAGTAAACTATACATTTAAAATGATCTTATTTCCAATCTAAAGCTGTGGTGTTCGACAATGATACATTTTTATTGGTTGACACTCGCAGGGATTTTGTAGTTTCTTTTACATGACTACCATCAACTAGTATTCGTATCTTTAATCACTTAAGATGATACTGGTTAACTTTTGATTCTTTGAAAAGCCGAGAGTTGTGTCTCTTACCTGAGACCAATGATTGGCTTATAATACCGTAGATAAGGGAAACACACTTTTATTTCCTTAGTCACTGATTATCCCACGAAGCTCTCCCGACCCGATCGTAACACCACCCACCACCGCGCGCCACCGTGCCAAACGCTTCTGTTGTCGTCTGTCTGGAAACAGCGGCATATTATTATGATTATGACAGTGTCAAACCATTGACCATTGGATACTGAAGTATTAATAGTCAAACTGAAAACGTCTCGTTTAAGTGTCTCTAGTAGGCTAGTCGTTAGACTAAGTAGGCTAAGAAATAGATTAATACTAGTAATAAACAAACAGTGATTAATTATTGTATTGACTAGGCCTATAGTATTAATCATAATAAATTAAATTATTAATTATTAATGAAATGAAATTGCAATTAGCAGGCACATTTTTATTCTCCAAGTTAAAAGTATTAATAGTCAAACTGAAAACGTCTCGTTTAAGTGTCTCTAGTAGGCTAGTCGTTAGAGTGTAAGTAGGCTAAGAATTATATTAATACTAGTAGTAGTAATACAGTGATTAATTATTGTATTAACTAGGCCTATAGTATTAATAATAATAAATTAAATGATTAATTATTAATGAAATGAAATTGCAATTAGCAGGCACATTTTTTTTCTCCCAGTTAAAATTCTTGTATTTCACATTTAAGTTATTGTGTTCTGCTAGTTAAATCTTGTACTGAAATAAAAGTTTTTGAACTTGAGCACACACACATAGATACCCCAGATATATTCATAGATACCAGTGCCCACAAACATATCCCATGCTTAGTGTTATGTGTCAAATAAACAAAATAGGCCTATACAAAATTCACACTTAAGATATTTCCTCATTTTAAATAGCTAAATTGTAATGTTAATTTTGTTTAACTAACTAACTAACTCTGCGTAACAGGTGAGTGACGAGTGTCCTTGGTTCCTCGTTTGAGCTAAAGCTGTCGAAATCGTAATAGTCGTATTTAAAATTTCAAATTACAGTATTACCACGTTCACTCCGATAGTTATTTTGACGTTGTATTAAGTTTTTGAAAACCTCGGCTTGCGCCACAAGTGTACATCGTTACTATGGTGATTGTAAGCATAAAAAACTGCATTTCGGAGTCTTTGTGAGTGTTTCTATTAAGTATTCGTGTTTGTAGAAGCCACACGAAACGTGTCTACGGGTGGTACACGAACCAAATTCAGATTACTTGTTTCCAACATGAGACTAATGTTTATCTTATTTTATTACTGAAACTGTACAAGTAGTGTACAGTTGATAAATAATTAATTTTATCCAATTATTCATATTAACATACTTTCATTTGTTTAAGTATGTAGTAATACTAGTAATGTGTACACAAATTTACTTTTTTGGCTGAAATTTCATTTTTGCGGCACCGGTGGCCACATCGGAGCAAACATGTTTTAAATTAATGGATTACAATTAATTATTACAGAACTCCATCAATAATCAAGTTCGGGTTCACTAGTTTGCAATTAAATGTGACCAGTTGCAATAAATATCATATACTATTATGTAAGCAATGTTTGCTTGTATGTATGCACTAGCTGTAGCCCGTCGGCTTCGCGCGACACACATGTTAGGTATGTTTTTAATAATTTATAATTACAATATAATTATTTATTTTCAGGTCTTATACTATGAGCCCGCAGAAGTTGAGACTTCACTACAGAATTACTCACTCGTATATGTATAACTTACATAATGTTTTTGCCAAAAATACTACCTGTTCTGTATCCTTTCACTTTATAATAATACCCTTCAACCAAGTTTGGCAATGGCACAGTTGGTTTTCTTATAACTTTATGTAAACGTATTAGAAAAAACATCATCAGCTCTTATGATCTGGTAGTGTTTGAATAAGTATGCAGGCTTGCTTACATATCCCTGTATTAGCCTTTATTGAAAGCCATCACCATTTTACCCTGTTATTACAACAAAAGACGTGTGTTTATAACAAACAGTCCACAGTATACTTGCAAATTACAATATACAGTACGAAGGGAAAAACATTGGTTATTATGTAGCAAAGATTACACTGAAGATTGCTTGATATTGTGGAAAGTAGTTCCAATCAAATACCGATTATATTACTTGGCTCTCTTCTACCAAAACGTAATTCCTGAAGTACTGAGAAAATTGTTAGCAAACATTGGTTTAGCAGTGAAATAAATATTTAATAGTGATATTTTTATGTAAATTAAAATCCAAACAAACATGTTTAATTAGTTGTTTTAATTTAAAACTGTCAAAACTATTTTCAGTATTTTCAACGAACCAACATTGTCTCCTCCGCATAATGACCCCTTTGCAAAGCACGGGCACAAGTGGCTATTAGGAAATAAATTTGTCATTTAAAGGTAGTATTTTAGTGAAAATTCATCCAGGTAAATGAAAATTCACACGGTTTGAAAATTTGCTGCAGCGGGCTTAATGAGTGTTGAGAGTAGTTCAGTCAATCACCGCTTGTATCGCTACCGTCGAGGCTCGTGATAGTTGACTTAGTCTCCGCTAGATGTCTCCTAAACCGAAAATACTCAATCAACGATAATTTATATAATACTAATTTTTTTTTATTGTTTACACTGTGTCAAAAATTGAAACAAAATTGGTTTAAGACAATACGTAGTAAGCTATACATTTTAAATAGTATATTTTTCAATCTAAAGCCGTGGTATTTGATAACAATACATTTTTACTGGTTGACACTCGCAGTGATTTTTTAATATCTCTTACAAGACTACCCTCAAATATCTTTTAACGTACGATTAAAATAATATGTGGAATAGAATAAAAATCTATATTATTGTTTTAAAAGCCGAGAGTTGTGTCTCTTACCTGAGACCGATGATTGGCTTATAATACAAATACCTGTTTGCCACGTCTATGTCTTAACCGGCTATCATTTTTGACTCGGTTGTCCGTTTGAGTTCAAATCTGCAGCATTGTATCATTGTATTCTGCTAATAAAGACCTTTCATTCTATGTACATATCAACTTGTTGATCTATTTAAGACTTCCATTTGATTCCTAGCGGGACGTCCCCATGATACGACAGAAACTGACAGTTCCTTCAAAAAGTATAGTTTTAGGTACCGTTCTGTTACCAAATCTCATTGATTCATATGTATCGTTTAG